TTATCTACAGGACCAGCAGTGGTGACACACTGAGTAGCTACATTGTCACACATTATCTACAGGACCAGCAGTGGTGACACACTGAGTAGGTACATTGTCACACATTATCTACAGGACCAGCAGTGGTGACACACTGAGTAGGTACATTGTCACACATTATCTACAGGACCAGCAGTGGTGACACACTGAGTAGGTACATTGTCACACATTATCTACAGGACCAGCAGTGGTGACACACTGAGTAGCTACATTGTCACACATTATCTACAGGACGAGCAGTGGTGACACACTGAGTAGCTACATTGTCACACATTATCTACAGGACCAGCAGTGGTGACACACTGAGTAGGTACATTGTCATACATTATCTACAGGAGCAGCAGTGGTGACACACTGAGTAGGTACATTGTCACACATTATCTACAGGAGCAGCAGTGGTGACACACTGAGTAGCTACATTGTCACACATTATCTACAGGACCAGCAGTGGTGACACACTGAGTAGGTACATTGTCACACATTATCTACAGGACGAGCAGTGGTGACACACTGAGTAGGTACATTGTCACACATTATCTACAGGACCAGCAGTGGTGACACACTGAGTAGCTACATTGTCACACATTATCTACAGGACCAGCAGTGGTGACACACTGAGTAGGTACATTGTCACACATTATCTACAGGACGAGCAGTGGTGACACACTGAGTAGGTACATTGTCATACATTATCTACAGGACCAGCAGTGGTGACACACTGAGTAGGTACATTGTCACACATTATCTACAGGACCAGCAGTGGTGACACACTGAGTAGCTACATTGTCATACATTATCTACAGGACGAGCAGTGGTGACACACTGAGTAGCTACATTGTCATACATTATCTACAGGACCAGCAGTGGTGACACACTGAGTAGGTACATTGTCACACATTATCTACAGGGACCAGCAGTGGGTGACACACTGAGTAGCTACATTGTCACACATTATCTACAGGAGCAGCAGTGGTGACACACTGAGTAGCTACATTGTCACACATTATCTACAGGAGCAGCAGTGGTGACACACTGAGTAGCTACATTGTCACACATTATCTACAGGACCAGCAGTGGTGACACACTGAGTAGGTACATTGTCACACATTATCTACAGGACGAGCAGTGGTGACACACTGAGTAGGTACATTGTCACACATTATCTACAGGACCAGCAGTGGTGACACACTGAGTAGGTACATTGTCACACATTATCTACAGGACCAGCAGTGGTGACACACTGAGTAGGTGTCACATTGTCACACATTATCTACAGGAGCAGCAGTGGTGACACACTGAGTAGCTACATTGTCATACATTATCTACAGGACCAGCAGTGGTGACACACTGAGTAGGTACATTGTCACACATTATCTACAGGACGCAGCAGTGGTGACACACTGAGTAGGTACATTGTCACACATTATCTACAGGACCAGCAGTGGTGACACACTGAGTAGCTACATTGTCACACATTATCTACAGGACCAGCAGTGGTGACACACTGAGTAGGTACATTGTCATACATTATCTACAGGACCAGCAGTGGTGACACACTGAGTAGGTACATTGTCATACATTATCTACAGGAGCAGCAGTGGTGACACACTGAGTAGCTACATTGTCACACATTATCTACAGGACCAGCAGTGGTGACACACTGAGTAGGTACATTGTCACACATTATCTACAGGACCAGCAGTGGTGACACACTGAGTAGGTACATTGTCACACATTATCTACAGGACGAGCAGTGGTGACACACTGAGTAGGTACATTGTCATACATTATCTACAGGACCAGCAGTGGTGACACACTGAGTAGCTACATTGTCACACATTATCTACAGGACGAGCAGTGGTGACACACTGAGTAGGTACATTGTCACACATTATCTACAGGACCAGCAGTGGTGACACACTGAGTAGCTACATTGTCATACATTATCTACAGGACGAGCAGTGGTGACACACTGAGTAGGTACATTGTCACACATTATCTACAGGACCAGCAGTGGTGACACACTGAGTAGGTACATTGTCACACATTATCTACAGGACCAGCAGTGGTGACACACTGAGTAGGTACATTGTCATACATTATCTACAGGACCAGCAGTGGTGACACACTGAGTAGCTACATTGTCATACATTATCTACAGGAGCAGCAGTGGTGACACACTGAGTAGGTACATTGTCACACATTATCTACAGGACCAGCAGTGGTGACACACTGAGTAGGTACATTGTCACACATTATCTACAGGACGAGCAGTGGTGACACACTGAGTAGGTACATTGTCATACATTATCTACAGGACGAGCAGTGGTGACACACTGAGTAGCTACATTGTCACACATTATCTACAGGACGAGCAGTGGTGACACACTGAGTAGGTACATTGTCACACATTATCTACAGGACCAGCAGTGGTGACACACTGAGTAGCTACATTGTCATACATTATCTACAGGAGCGAGCAGTGGTGACACACTGAGTAGGTACATTGTCACACATTATCTACAGGACGAGCAGTGGTGACACACTGAGTAGGTACATTGTCACACATTATCTACACGAATAATCACAATATAATATACTAATAGGTCTATAATACATATAATAATAATAATATCACATAATAATAATAAATGTTAATCTGTAAAACATAATAATGATGATAATGGTCTAATGATACATAGGGACAGTCTTTTACCATATTGCTAAACACCACGCTTGTGAGTAAGAAAGATTATTCGTTTCTTGTGAAAACAATATTTTACATGGGGACACTCTTTTACTGGTTACGGTAATCCATTAATTAATTAATATGTTGGAAATGTGGCTTTACCGTCTACAGCCATGTAATTTAAAGGTGTCCTCCCAAAAGTTAGACGTCCCAAAACTTAGACGCGTTAAAGCAACCAAGGTTATGGTTGGTTACACTGAGGTTCACTACACTGTCACCTTCGTTAATTAATGGACTAGTCCGAAATGTACTTATCCAAACACAAAGAGAAGAGATTGTGGATAATGACAATGACTTTATTTGACATAAAACAAAATAAGTTATTTCAACAAGATAATTATAAATGATCTATGGATGACTTTGTAATGACTTTATTTGGCATTAAAAACCCTTGAATTTAACAAGATAATTTAAATGGTCAATCAAATCATTCAAGATTTAAGATTTCACATCTTTCACATAATTCACTATACAGGCAGTAACAAGGCAAGAATGTCAACCAAGTCTGAGCAAATGCCTAACTGCATCAAGGAACTCCATGTTTGTCATCCCTGCTGCACGCAGTCTCCCTTGCAGACGCATCAGCCTGTTCTCAGTTTCCCTGTACACCCTCTTCGTCTTCCACATCGCCAGTGAACAAACTCTCCCCTGACTCTGTTCTTGGTGTATGTGTGACGAAGGAATACCTGAGGAGTACCCTTCTGTGACTTCACGTATTCTACTCTCTGAAGACCAGCCATCGTTTGTTCTTAACCCTTAGTTAGTTATTTGCTTTATTTAGCGTCGCACGCACAACTAAGGTAAAAAAGGAACAAATATGAAATAGGTAAAGAGTAATAGAGATGTGGAATTTAATATATATGTAGTGTAATAAATGGTTATTGTTATTGTTTGAGGACAGAAATCTGTTTAATTTGATTGTATTTTGTTAATATGTTGCTTTACAACCAACCCATGTTTAAAAACATATTTATTAAGTGAATAATGATGAACATATAAACGGTTAAAAAATGAAGTCGATAAAAAGAGAGAACTCATTTCAAAAGTTAAAATAACACATATACATATTTATAACAATTTTTTAAAATGGTAAAAAGTCGAATTATTGCATTATTGTTTTTGTTGCTAGATTGTTTGGTATAATTTTGTATGAATAAAATATTTAGTGAGTGGTTTAATTAATTTGGGGTTTGTTAGAAGGTGCTTGAGATCAGAAGAGTTAGCATTATTGAATTTGGCAAGTGATACATATGCCGTTTGAACGTTGTGAAAACACATTTGGAGAACCCAGTGATTGAGTAAGCCAGTCAACATTACCATTCTGACTAGGTTGTAATCACAGTCATGTCTGATTGATTTGTCTGGCAACTGGGACGTCTGACTTTTGGGACGTCTAACTTTCGGAGTAAAATATGGCCTTCCCGGCAATAGTCATTTCTGAAATGTTGCTTTCCCGGCCTGACACCGAATGAACGTTCAGTAACCCAAGCTTGTAAGAGGCGACTAACGGGATCGGGTGGTCAGGATCGCTGGCTTGGTTGACACATGTCATCGGTTCTCAGTTGCGCAGATCGTTGCTCATGCTGTTGATCACTGGATTGTCTGGTCCAGACTCGGTTATTTACAGACCGCCGCCATATAGCTGGAATATTCTTGAGTGCGCGTAAAACTAAACTCACTCACTCACTCACTCCTGCACGGCCTTTTGTGACAACAGTGCACAGGCACGAGGAAAGTGGTATGATTGTAGTGCATGTTGTATTGGGAGGTCAACAGGTGGTGGTAGTTTCATCTGGGGTCATTTGTAGTTGTTTAATTATTAGAAACGTATTTTTTATCAATTGCTTTTTTCCCTGTCATGTTGCAGGGAAGGAGTGTGTTTTAATTCACTCTTGTAAACAAGTCTTGTACACAGCGGCTGGTAGAGTTTTACATCCATGTGACGGTGTTGTTGTCTGCATGTCCGCATGTCCGCGCGGGCAAACACACAATGGACCTGGCAACTAAATATCAGGCACACCAGGTCACTGTTACAGGCGACTTACATATATATCGTGTATCGCGGTTATTCAAAGCAAACAGCCACCAGAAACACCATGATCCTTTTCCTGACACAATATTGACTCATAACTAGCTCGCAGGACAAAAGAATGTTAACATCCCGTCGACGGTTGACTGCAAATAGAGCAACGAGCGGGTTCTCTATGCGGAACTTACATCCTTGTCACCCTGTTTACACCGGTGTGCACACGGTCTATGTGGTTTCAATATGTCTATGCACTACTAGGAGTTAGGAGGTACTGTTTCATCGACTGCTGGTGAGAACACCATGTTGTTATGTCAACTACTCCACGATTCCAACCGGGACAATAAATGACAACTACGTCTTCGTTCCCAACATCTCTCACGTACTGATGTTTTGAATGGTGATTAAAATGACTATATTCCATGCTTTCTCCGTGACTGTGATGTTACTTCAAACCTGCCAGAGTGTGCTGTCACAAGGTGAGTAATATGCTCTTAGCTGGAAGCTTAACCTAACATAACACCACCTCGAGTATCTGCTTCTTCAACTGTTATTCACTGAGAATGGATTATATTACATGAACTATCTGTCTTCGGTGATGAGGCAGATAGGCAAGTACTATGTTAATCGTGTCATCTGTCACAGTGAGGCCAATAGCGGAGGATTATTATTAATCGTGTCATCTGTCTACAGTGAGGCCAATAGCGGAGGATTATTGTTAATCGTGTCATCTGTCTACAGTGAGGCCAATAGCGGAGGATTATTGTTAAACGTGTCATCTGTCTACAGTGAGGCCAATAGCGGAGGATTATTGTTAATCGCACCAACTGGTTTCATTGAGATAAGTAGTGCAGCACTATATTATTCGTATCATCTGCCATAGCAGAGGTCAGAAATGTCATTTGGCATCAGAGAAGTCATCAGAGAATTTGAGATTGGTTGTATTATCTCACTTCACTGAGTTCGATAGAGGAGGTTTATGGTATTTAGAACTATTGTTTGGCTTCAGTGAGGTCGATAGAGGAGGTTTATGGTATTTGTATTGTGTGCATGAGGTTGATGGTATTTGTATGGTTTGGCTTCAGTGAGGTCGATAGAGGAGGTTTATGGAATTTGTATTGTCTGGCTTCAATGAGGTCAATGGATGAGGTTGATGGTATTTGTATTGTCTGGCTTTAGTGAGGTCGATAGAGGAGGTTTATGGTATTTGTATTGTCTGGCTTCAGTGAGGTCAATGGAGGAGAATTATGGTATATATATTGTCTGGCTTCAATGAGGTCAATGGAGGAGGTTTATGGTATTTGTATTTTCTGGCTTCAGTGATGTCTATGGAGGAGGTTTATGGTATTTGTATTGTGTGGCTTTAGTGATGTCTATGGAGGAGGTTTATGGTATTTGTATTGTCTGGCTTCAGTGAGGTCAATGGAGGAGAATTATGGTATTTATATTGTCTGGCTTCAATGAGGTCAATGGAGGAGGTTTATGGTATTTGTATTTTCTGGCTTCAATGAGGTCAATGGAGGAGGTTTATGGTATTTGTATTGTCTGGCTTCAGTGAGGTCGATAGAGGAGGTTCATGGTATTTGTATGGTTTGTCTTCAATGAGGTCAATGGAGGAGGTTTATGGTATTTGTATTGTCTGGCTTCAAAGAGGTCAATGGAGGAGGTTTATGGTATTTGGATTTGTGGCTTTAGTGAGGTCGATGGAGGAGATTTATGGTATTTGTATCGTTTGGCTACAGTGAGGTCAATGGAGGAGGTTTATGGTATTTGTATTGTCTGGCTTCAATGAGGTCAATGGAGGAGGATTATGGTATGTGTATTGTCTGGCTTCAGTGAGGTCGATAGAGGAGGTTAACTGTATTTATATTGTCTGGCTTCAATGAGGTCAATGGAGGAGGTTTATGGTATTTGTATTGTCTGGCTTCAATGAGGTCTAGGGAGGAGGTTTATGGTATTTGTATTGTCTGGCTTCAGTGAAGTCAATGGAGGAGAATTGTGGTATTTATATAGTCTCGCTTCAATGAGGTTAATGGATGAGGTTGATAGTACTTGTATATTTTGGCTTCAATGAGGTCAATGGAGGAGGTTTATGGTATATGTCTTGTCTGGCTTCAGTGAGGTCGATAGAGGAGAATTATGGTATTTATATTGTCTGGCTTCAATGAGGTGAATGGAGGAGAATTATGGTATTTATATTGTCTGGCTTCAATGAGGTCAATGGAGGAGGTTTATGATACTTGCATCGTTTGGATTCAGTGTGGTCGATGGAGGAGGTTTATGGCATTTGTATTGTGTGGCTTCAGTGAGGTCGAGAGAGGAGGTTTATGGTATTTGTATTGTGTGGTTCAGTGAGGTCGATAGAGGAGGTTTATGGTATTTGTATTGTGTGGTTCAGTGAAGGTCGATGGAGGAGGTGTTTGTATTGTTTAGTGGAGGTCGATGATTTGTATTGTCTGGCTTCAGTGAGGTCAGTGGAGAAGTTTATGGTATTTATGTTGTGTGGCTTCAATGAGGTCAATGGATGAGGTTTATAGTATTTGTATTGTCTGGCTTCAATGAGGTCAATGGAGGAGGTTTATGATACTTGTATCGGCTTCAGTGATGATGTCGATAGAGGAGGAGTTTATATTATTTGTATTTGTTCATCGATGAGGAGGAGTTTATGGTATTGTCCAGCTTCAGTGAAGTCGATAGATGAGTTTGATGGTTTGTATGGTTTGTGTTCAATGAGTCAATGGAGGAGAGTTTATAGTATTTGTGTTGTCTAGCTTCAAAGAGAGGTCAATGGAGAGGTTTATGGTATTTGGATTGTGTGGCTTTAGTAGGAGTCGATGGAGGCGATTTATGGTATTTGTATTGTTTGGCTACAGTGAGGTCAATGGAGGAGGTTTATGGTATTTGTATTGTCTGGCTTCAATGAGGTCAATGGAGGAGGTTTATGGTATGTGTATTGTCTGGCTTCAGTGAGGTCGATAGAGGAGGTTTACTGTATTTATATTGTCTGGCTTCAATGAGGTCAATGGAGGAGAATTATGGTATGTGTATTGTCTGGCTTCAATGAGGTCTAGGGAGGAGGTTTATGGTATTTGTATTGTCTGGCTTCAGTGAAGTCAATGGAGAAGAATTGTGGTATTTATATAGTCTCGCTTCAATGAGGTCTATGGATGAGGTTGATGGTACTTGTATATTTTGGCTTCAATGAGGTCAATGGAGGAGGTTTATGGTATATGTCTTGTCTGGCTTCAGTGAGGTCGATAGAGGAGAATTATGGTATTTGTATCGTTTGGCTACAGTGAGGTCAATGGAGGAGGTTTATGGTATTTGTATTGTCTGGCTTCAAAGAGGTCAATGGAGGAGGTTTATGGTATTTGGATTGTGTGGCTTTAGTGAGGTCGATAGAGGAGATTTATGGTATTTGTATCGTTTGGCTACAGTGAGGTCAATGGAGAAGGTTTATGGTATGTGTATTGTCTGGCTTCAGTGAAGTCGATAGAGGAGGTTTATGGTATTGATATTGTCTGGCTTCAATGAGGTCAATGGAGGAGGTTTATGGTATTTGTATTTTCTGGCTTCAATGAGGTCTATGGAGGAAGTTTATGGTATTTGTATTGTCTGGCTTCAGTGAGGTCAATGGAGGAGAATTATGGTATTTATATTGTCTGGATTCAATGAGGTCAATGGATGAGGGTTTATGGTATATATATTGTCTGGCTTCAGTGAGGTCGATAGAGGAGAATTATGGTATTTATATTGTCTGGCTTCAGTGAGGTCAATGGAGGAGTTTTATGGTATTTGTATTGTCTGGCTTCAATGAGGTCTGTGGAGGAGGTTGATGGTATTTGTATTGTCTGGCTTCCATAAGGTCACTGGAGGAGGTTTATGATACTTGTATCGTTTGGATTCAGTGTGGTCGATAGATGAGGTTTATGGTATTTGTATTGTGTGGCTTCAGTGAGGTCGATAGAGGAGGTTTATGGTATTTGTATTGTGTGGTTCAGTGAGGTCGATAGATGAGGTTTATGGTATTTGTATTGTCTGGCTTCAGTGAGGTCAATGGAGGAGAATTATGGTATTTATATTGTCTGGCTTCAATTAGGTCAATGGATGAGGTTGATGGTATTTGCATGGTTTGGCTTCAGTGAGGTCAATGGAGGAGTTTATGGTATATGTATTGTCTGGCTTCAGTGAGGTCGATAGAGGAGAATTATGGTATGTATATTGTCTGGCTTCAATGAGGTCGAGAGAAGAGAATGATAGTATTTGAATGGTTTGGCTTCAGTGAGGTCAATGCAGGAGGTTCATGGTATTTGTATTGTCTGGCTTCAGTGAGGTCAATGGATGAGGTTGATGGTATATGTATTGTCTGGCTTCAGTGAGGTCGATAGAAGAGGCTTATGGTATTTGTATTGTGTGGCTTCAGTGAGGTCGATGGAGGATGTTTATGGTATTTGTATTGTGTGGTTTCAGTGAGGTCGATAGAGGTGATTCATGGTATTTGTTTTGTCTGGCTTCAGTGAGGTCGATAGAGGTGATTCATGGTATTTGTATTGTCTGGCTTCAGTGAGGTCGATAGAGGTGATTCATGGTATTTGTTTTGTCTGGCTTCAGTGAGGTCGATAGAGGTGATTCATGGTATTTGTTTTGTCTGGCTTCAGTGAGTCTAGCATCGACTGGCGGCATGGACACCGCAACATCAGCACCGACATCAGCATCAATCCAGCCATCCACCTGGCAGTCCCAGAGTACACAATCGCCTGTAGCTACATCTGTAGTCGCACGCACTGGACTTGATACATCTCTCACTGGACCCGCTGGACTTGATACAGCATTAACCATACTTGATACAATCCTCACTGGTCTTGATACAACTCCCACTGGAACCACTGGACTTGATATAACAACCACTGGAACCACTGGTCTTGATACAACACCCACTGGAACCACTGGACTTGATACAACAGCCACTGGAACCACTGGTTTTGATACAACAGCCACTGGAACCACTGGACTTGATACAACAACCACTGGAACCACTGGACTTGATACAACAACCACTGGAACCACTGGACTTGATACAACACCCACTCGAACCACTGGACTTTATACAACAACCACTGGAACCACTGGTCTTGATACAACACCCACTGGAACCACTGGTCTTGATACAACACCCACTGGAACCACTGGACTTGATACAACAACCACTGGAACCACTGGACTTGATACAACACCCACTGGAACCACTGGACTTGATACAACAACCACTGGAACCACTGGACTTGATACAACACCCACTGGAACCACTGGACTTGATACAACACCCACTGGAACCACTGGACTTGATACAACAACCACTGGAACCACTGGTTTTGATATAGAAACAACATCAGCCTCAAAAACTACAACATTGTCAACAGAAACAACTTTACCAACAACAGGTTCTCCCATATTTACTGACCATTTGACACTATGCTAAATTATTGCTTACTTACTTCATTGCTTACAATAATGCCCCAGTGTGTTTGAAATTTGCCTTCAGTTAAAGATCCGTGTGTTTTTGTTTTTTAAAAAAAAAAAGGTAAGTTGGCATTTAATCGTACAAGTGGGACCTTGGTGAATCTGTCTTGTTTAACTGTGGGCAGTAACAGCATAAACAATGTCCATTTTGTAAATGTCTCACATCGCCTCTAAACCAGAAACGCCATATCTGCCATCAACAACATCTGCTGACACGTCTACAACGACACAGGGGGATTCACAGACGACGACAACAGCAACAACAACCGTCATGGCAGCTGCAACTGATGACTTCATGATGACAGGTAAAGACGCTAATTGTACTGCTGTTATCTCTCCGATACAATAACCGTCTATAAGTCACCAATTTCAACATGAATCAGACAACAATACCTGTCTAGATTATGACATTTGTGCTCCAGCTTCATGGACTGGCAACGAGGATGCCCTACAGTCTACAACGTTAACGCAGGGTGTCTCTTCATCTGCAACTACATCTGTCACTGCATCCCTTTCAACAACATCTACGTCCACAAACCCATCTACATCTACACCCCCAATTACACGAACAACTACATACTCTACAGGCCTAGCTACATTCCCATCTATGTCTGCATCAACAGTTACATTTACATCCACATCTTCATCTGCACATTACTCAGCTACTGCTACCTCCATACACACATCCCCAATGCCATCTGTAACTACATATGCTTCTACACCCTCATCAGCATCTATATCTGCATATCCGGCGCTAGCTAAATCAACACCTACGTCTTCTACATCTGGCCCAGATGATACGTCAACGACTTCTATATCTACATCTGGCCCAGCAGATACGTCAACGACTTCTATATCTACATCTGGCCCAGCAGATACGTCAACGACTTCTATATCTACATCTGGTCCAGCAGATACGTCAACGACTTCTATATCTACATCTGGCCCAGCAGATACGTCAACGACTTCTATATCTACATCTGGCCCAGCAGATACGTCAACGACTTCTACCACAGCCAACAATGACGGTGCGTATCCATATATTACAGACAAAGAAGTGCACTCAGTAAGTTCATAGTAACCAGAGATTCTGTCCCTGCAGAAAGTATCCAGAGAGTGAGTTAGATAACCGCCCCGTCAGTGGCAAGTGTAAGGTGTTAGCAAGCTACAGTGTGCTACGATATTCTTGCAGAGACGTTCAGGCATATTATACCGGCTGTATCCAGTGTAAGGTGTTAGCAAGGTACAGTGTGCTACGATATTCTTGCAGAGACGTTCAGGCTTATTATACCGGCTGTTTCCAGTGTAAGGTGTTAGCAAGGTACAGTGTGCTACGATATTCTTGCAGAGACGTCCAGGCTTATTATACCGGCTGTATCCAGTGTAAGGTGTTAGCAAGGTACAGTGTGCTACGATATTCTTGCAGAGACGTCCAGGCTTATTATACCGGCTGTATCCAGTGTAAGGTGTTAGCAAGGTACAGTGTGCTACGATATTCTTGCAGAGACGTCCAGGCTTATTATACCGGCTGTATCCAGTGTAAGGTGTTAGCAAGGTACAGTGTGCTACGATATTCTTGCAGAGACGTCCAGGCTTATTATACCGGCTGTATCCAGTGTAAGGTGTTAGCAAGGTACAGTGTGCTACGATATTCTTGCAGAGACGTCCAGGCTTATTATACCGGCTGTATCCAGTGTAAGGTGTTAGCAAGGTACAGTGTGCTACGATATTCTTGCAGAGACGTCCAGGCTTATTATACCGGCTATATCCAGTGTAAGGTGTTAGCAAGGTACAGTGTGCTACGATATTCTTGCAGAGACGTCCAGGCTTATTATACCGGCTGTATCCAGTGCTGCTGCGGGTGTTGCCCTCCTGACCGTGGTCCTTGTGTCCGTGATTTGTTACCGGTAAGAGAATCCCTCTTTCTACAACACCAGGATAATACCTGTCACTAGAGGTAGACATTAACCATTGGACCAATACAGAACTTTTGTCGGAAGCAATTATTGATACATTGCTTCCATAAAACTGATACAATAGTCTGTGGGCCGGTGTGGGGAGTCTCCGATCAGATTACCCTGTGGACCAGGTAATAATTGTCGGTGCTGATTGCATGTCACCGTGGCCCGACTTGCCATTGGACGTTTATCAGCCATTGCCTCGTCATGCTCGGCCATTTACAGCCCTTTTCCATATATCTGGAATATCAAAAATGAAACATACAACTTTATGGATGACAACTTCTTATTTATTGCATTCAGCGACGTTTCGATGTCCTGGTTAGGACATACCTCTGTAACACAGAGGGTCTCCTTAAAAAGCTTTGCCGTTGTTCTGTACAACTTGAAGTATAACCCGCACAATTATCTAGCCAGGAGGTCTTTGAATGGCATTTAGAAGTGATACACCTAAGGAAGATACACATTATCCATTGCTTGTTTTTAGATATTTACTCGTATTCACAAGATGTTGAAAGCATGGATCGCTGCTTACATACATGTCTCATCTGCCTGTTTTAGAAGAAGATCACAGGAGAAACCCCTCGCCGATGCAGATGACATCAGTTACCACAACTTCCGCGTCGGTCGAATGGAGCTTCAGTCGGTCAGGAAAGACGACCCTTACCTGGACCTTGATTCTGATTTCACTAGCCAGGACGTTGAAACTAAACACAAACTATCTACGTTCGGTCGGAGTTGAACGCGTCCTGTTGAAACAATGTCATACATGATAAAGATGGTTTCATGGTTTCATTGACAGTGTTAATGGAAGCGCGAGTGTGGTTGTTTCATGCAGTAAGGTAATTATCTGTCACAGGGGCGCTCAAACCAACCATTGTTAAATACTGGCATTCTTAATATGACACGGATATGTACAGATGAAGAGCCTCCGTGATCCGTGGCTCCTCTCTTACTGCTCTGCTATTGTTTTGTGGCTGCTGTTACTTCCCAGTTAATGCTCTGTTACTGCTCTGCCCTTGTTTTGTGGCTGCTGTTACTGCCCAGTTAATGCTCTGTTACTGCTCTGCTATTGTTTTGTGGCTGCTGTTACTGCCCAGTTAATGCTCTGTTACTGCTCTGCTATTGTTTTGTGGCTGCTGTTACTGCCCAGTTAATGCTCTGTTACTGCTCTGCCCTTGTTTTGTGGCTGCTGTTACTGCCCAGTTAATGCTCTGTTACTGCTCTGCTATTGTTTTGTGGCTGCTGTTACTGCCCAGTTAATGCTCTGTTACTGCTCTGCCCTTGTTTTGTGGCTGCTGTTACTGCCCAGTTAATGCTCTGTTACTGCTCTGCCCTTGTTTTGTGGCTGCTGTTACTGCCCAGTTAATGCTCTGTTACTGCTCTGCTATTGTTTTGTGGCTGCTGTTACTGCCCAGTTAATGCACTGTTACTGCTCTGCTATTGTTTTGTGGCTGCTGTTACTGCCCAGTTAATGCTCTGTTACTGCTCTGCTATTGTTTTGTGGCTGCTGTTACTGCCCAGCTAATGCACTGTTACTGCTCTGCTATTGTTTTGTGGCTGCTGTTACTGCCCAGTTAATGCTCTGTTACTGCTCTGCTATTGTTTTGTGGCTGCTGTTACCGCCCAGTTAATGCCTGTTACTGCTCTGCTATTGTTTTGTGGCTGCTGTTACTGCCCAGTTAATGCCTGTTACTGCTCTGCTATTGTTTTGTGGCTGCTGTTACCCCCCAGTTAATGCACTGTTACTGCTCTGCTATTGTTTTGTGGCTGCTGTTACCGCCCAGTTAATGCCTGTTACTGCTCTGCTATTGTTTTGTGGCTGCTGTTACCGCCCAGTTAATGCACTGTTACTGCTCTGCTATTGTTTTGTGGCTGCTGTTACCGCCCAGTTAATGCTCTGTTACTTTGTGGCTGCTGTTACTGCCCAGTTAATGCCTGTTACTGCTCTGCTATTGTTTTGTGGCTGCTGTTACTGCCCAGTTAATGCACTGTTACTGCTCTGCTATTGTTTTGTGGCTGCTGTTACTGCCCAGTTAATGCACTGTTACTGCTCTGCTATTGTTTTGTGGCTGCTGTTACTGCCCAGTTAATGCACTGTTACTGCTCTGCTATTGTTTTGTGGCTGCTGTTACTGCCCAGTTAATGCACTGTTACTGCTCTGCTATTGTTTTGTGGCTGCTGTTACTGCCCAGTTAATGCTCTGTTACTGCTCTGCTATTGTTTTGTGGCTGCTGTTACTGCCCAGTTAATGCTCTGTTACTGCTCTGCTATTGTTTTGTGGCTGCTGTTACTGCCCAGTTAATGCTCTGTTACTGCTCTGCTATTGTTTTGTGGCTGCTGTTACTGCCCAGTTAATGCTCTGTTACTGCTCTGTACGCAGCGTACGGTGTATGGGGTTACTTTTTTCCAAACGTCTCTTTGTCAAGTGACATTATTTCCTTCTTGCATTCATCCGTGTATCAAGTAAGCTGGAGCTGTACATCAAGAGTATGACAACCTTTGTGTAAGTCTCACTGACATATCATATGACGGGAGCAAATATATGACAACCTTTGTGTTAGTCTCACTGACATATCATATGACGGGATATATACATCAAAAGTATGACAACCTTTATAACATGTTATATTTGGGATTACACTTTCTTAGTAAAGTACACATTCTAGTACTTTTTGGGTTGAGTCCCATCCAGGATTCGAACCCACACCCTCAAAGTCAGGCACCTAATCGCCAGCACACAAAGTCAGACGCCTAGACCGCTCAGCCACCGCGGCTTCCACAAAAATGGAAGTCGGACAACTGGTAGTCTAGACAGCGGACTTTGTGTACCCCTCTGATAAGTGTAAATTGGCACGGCTCCCATGGCCGAAAGCTATGAAATACTATGACAACCTTTGTGTAAGTCTCACTGACATATCATATGACGGGAGCAAATATATGACAACCTCTGTGTAAGTCTCACTGGCATATCATATGACGGGAGCAAATATATGACAACCTTTGTGTAAGTCTCACTGGCATATCATATGACGGGAGCAAATATATGACAACCTTTGTGTAAGTCTCACTGACATATCATATGACGGGAGCAAATATATGACAACCTTTGCGTAAGTCTCACTGACATATCATATGACGGGAGCAAATATATGACAACCTTTGTGTAAGTCTCACTGACATATCATATGACGGGAGCAAATATATGACAACCTTTGTGTAAGTCTCACTGACATATCATATGACGGGAGCAAATATATGACAACCTTTGTGTAAGTCTCACTGACATATCATATGACGGGAGCAAATATATGACAACCTTTGTGTAAGTCTCACTGGCATATCATATGACGGGAGCAAATATATGACAACCTTTGTGTAAGTCTCACTGACATATCATATGACGGGAGCAAATATATGACAACCTTTGCGTAAGTCTCACTGACATATCATATGACGGGAGCAAATATATGACAACCTTTGTGTAAGTCTCACTGACATATCATATGACGGGAGCAAATATATGACAACCTTTGCGTAAGTCTCACTGACATATCATATGACGGGAGATATAATCAGAACACCACATGTGAAATGCTGCAAAAAGACGTCCGATGCAAATACACGGCAGTGCTGCAGGCAGAACTGATTGCCACGAAACCCAACAATGGTTGAGGTAATTATCTAAAGTTCCTGCAAAGGATAAAGTGATTATTGCCAGTTAGATCTGAATTCAGGTTCAGTAGTCAGAATAAACAAGTTTGATACGCCAGCCGTATTGAATTATGAAATGTTTATTAGATACTAAAAGAGGATATACACATCACATGTTGCCCACCACCGGAAGTGATACTCACAGTACAGTACTTGTTTCCATCAATATACTTTACTTCAATGTACTTGTTTGAATTCAGCACTTCATCTGCACTGTAAGATTTATATATTGTGATATAAACAATAGGAAAATGGGTAATGGTGTTGCTTTGTTCCTCTAGTATTACTGCATTCTTGCAGCGGAGAGAGTGAGTGAGGGAATGAGTTGTATCTGGAGTAGGAGTATCGGTACCACTAACAATTGATGAGTTAAACCGCGGTTGTGGAAAGGTTTTGTCGCTTTCATGTATTTCCTGTGACTGGTATGCTGATTATTGGACGGGGCTGGTCACATGACGAGCATGGTAATGGCAGAAGGGCGTATCCTGTTTACGTAACGCCCGTGTCACCCGAATGTGTAAACATGTTTTTCCAAACCAGAATGGGACCACGATCGGGTCACGCTGACTCACATTCGTGACCGATCAAGTGTTAGGTTGCCATGGTAACTGCTATGTAAAACCAGTTGAATAGCCATTACCCGGTTTTCCTGCTATGGCCACGTGACCAGGAAAATTAAACACCCTTGAAGTCATGGATTTGAAATATAGTCAAGTTCAGAGCTATCACACACCACAACAAGCAGGAACTGTAAATCTAGGTTCAGGGGACGGTATTTGTGTAGAGAGGGCAGACCTACCTTGTAAGTACATTGTCAGGAAAACCATGGACATATACAACGCTGCTTCCGATGGTAATCTTTTCAAGGCACCAGACGCGTATACTTTCACCAGTATGTATGTATGCGTGTGCGTGCGTGCATGCCTCTTATACTTTCTTTCTGTGTGTCAGGTTGCAACCCCTGTTATCTAACGTGTATCAGTTCACCACAGCGAGCGCTGGGACGATGAGGACACGGACACAAGGCGCACATCCATGAACTACATCGGTGTTCTTCTCGCTGCACTACACTTAAAATGGCAGCATTGAAACTGTTACCTCTTGTGGTCATAGTCGTCCTATTCCCGGAGTCCATGTCACGTGAGTAACGGACGCAACAGTAACAACGTTCGCGACTCTCCTAGTTTTGTTTAGACTATTATTACACAATCGGGTTTACACCTGTGTTGCATCCCGGGCTTTTGCACTTAAACGCAAACCTCGAGTCTGTCCTTAACATAATCCTGATACAGTGTTAGACCAAGGAAGGTATGATTGTTGCAGCTGTTGTTGTTTTGTATGATAGCATGTGTACATAATCTTTTTATATCGGTATTATTGAATGTAACCAATTTGTAATTTGAACAATATGGAATGTGTGGTGTATTCCATCCACTGGTACATGCAATAAAGCTGGTTGTCATTTCTTCACTGTCGTTTGTGTTTTCAGCAAGCACAGTCTTTTTCACAATGTCTTTTTCAGCATCACGATTGTCTGTGTCAGCTTTAGCCTCATCAACTCCGACGTCGTCATCACAACAGTCTCAGTCGACTACTACCACGTCACCACAACCGTCTTCTTCAGCCTTGTCCTCATCAACTCCGACGACGTCATCACAACAGTCTGAGTCAGCGATGAGCTCATCAACTACAAGGTCACCACAACCGTCTGTGTCAGCCGTGTCCTCATCAACTTCGACAACGTCATCACAACAGTCTCAGTCAGATATGTCCTCATCGACTACTACCACGTCACCACAACCGTCTTCTTCAGCCTTGTCTTCATCAACTCCGACGACGTCATCACAACAGTCTCAATCAGCGATGTCCTCATCAACCACAAGGTCACCTCAACCGTCTGTGTCAGCCGTGTCCTCATCGACTCCGACAACGTCTGCTTCAGGTACAGTCGACAGTAAGACTGACGTTTCGAGGTCTGTCTTTCCTAAAATAAACTTGTCTCCCGTCTGAAATGCCTGACCAGCTATATTTAACGGTACAAAACTGTCAATCCGTTGATTCCAATGAGCTTGTATAAGAGATTAAATAAATTGATTGGAAGCCTTATTTAATCACTTATACAAGCTTTGTACATCAAATACATCTATTGTATATGCATCTCATCCCCAATGTTGGGTTTCACATATCCTTAAGTTACTCTTTGAAACTGGTTTTTTTTACGTTTGGAATAGCCAAGAATGTAGTAACATCAAGATTTTATAGTTTTTGTTTACACAGAGATGTAAAGATATTGAGTATCAATATTGGCATTCCAAGATTTTAACGTCATCCTTTTTTAATAATTATGGAAATTTTCAAACTCTTTTGGGTGAGGTGTGGTGAGGTGAAATTGGGTTTAACGTCGTGCTTGAGAATATTTCGCTCATATGACGACGTGCATGCGTGTGTATGTATATGTGCGGCTGCTTGTACTAGTCCAGACTAAAGCTGGTTCTATAGTGCTAGCCCACTGAGATACCATGCCGCAGTGAAGCATGAATACACCACCCAGACACATTATACTGACTCCGAGCCGGCCAGTCCTTGTTGTACCCATTAATGCCGAGCACCAGGCAGGGACCAATAAGTACCATATTTTAACGTCTTTTGGTATGACGCGGTCGGGGATCGAATCCGCGACCTTCCGCTCTCCGGGCGGACATCTTTTGGGAGTTGAGAAGTATGTATTAGAGCTGTAAGAATGTACTGTAAATTTGTTGTGCATCGCATTCATTGAATGTTCATTTACTACTTTTTAAATGTTTGAAAGATCACAACCAACTGTTATGCTCGAAGTGTAATTAAGGATGTAGAGAACTGTTTATACGACCATATTATTATAACAATCCATCCCATGATAAACTTGTCTCATTAATGTCAACAACATATTCCTGTTCTTATAAAGAAGATATCACTGTTCCTCAAAAGATATTTACCATGTTAAGTAGTTTTGCGTGGTATATTAGTGTATCTTGCGCACTGTATGATTTGCGTATCTTTGCACTATGGACCATGAGGTCTTAAATGCAAAAATAAACTCACATCTCATCCCCATTCTATTGTAATAACAACGCATGTATATATTCTCTAAAACTCTTTATCGTGTATCACCTGCTTGACAACGACATTAGAATCTATGTCGAAACGTCGCCTTTCACAGGATAAAGAAGTTGTATATCCATAAAAAAGTATCCTAATTCTTCATCACCCCAACTTCTAAAATGTCCGTCAAGGAAGTCTTCTAGGTTTACTTGAGTCACCATTATATTGACATATTGTTATACGACGCATCTATCATTCCTGTTATTTTATCGGTGGACGTTGTGAGGATGTCGGTTAACAATGTACTTACATAGCCTACATGGTTATTACGTCAATAAACATGGTTCTAACCTCCAGATAATAGAATACCCTTAACATTATAATTACATCTATCAAGGTCATTTGGTCAGTTTACTTGTTATAACTTCACTGTACATTCCCTGTACACCTGTACACATGTTAAAAGGTTTACAAGACAATTTACACTTCGGTTAATAACGTGACGTCAGATTCCATGTTGTAACTTCTGTTACCATAGTAATTATATCTCCTGGCACGGTTCTTGTGTAAGTGTATGTGGTTATGGCTTCAGCAGCAAGTTCGTCTGATACATCGTCGCCTTCATCACCAGAGTTGGTGACATCAGCCTCGACCTCCCTCAACAACAGTTCATCTGATTTATCAACCACTTCAACAACACCCAAACTGTCTGCATCGACAGAAGCATCAAGCCCTTCAACGGCATCGACGGACCTGAAGTCCACGTCTCCGTCAGTGACAGCGACACACTATACAACGGGTAGCACCAGTGGAGAGCCTCACTCGTCATCAGCAACTTCATCAGCAGCTACAGAGCATGCAACCTCATCCCAGTTTACAACTACACCAGTAGCTGGAACATCCTGGTCGACACAATCAACATTATCAACTGGGTCATCAACTACGGAAAAATCAGCTAAAGAGACAAAAACAGGTGAGACAGGAGAAGGAATAGCAGAAGGATGTAAGTGAAAATGACGTAAGGCTGGAGGAATAAGTCAAGAGGTAAGACATTAAGATGTAGGTGAGAGGAGGCAGACAGAAGGATGTAGGTGAGAGGAGGCAAAACAGAAGTATGTAGGTGGAAAGGACATACGACTGGAGAAGGTAAGACAAAAGGTAAGAAATTAGGATGTAGGTGGAAAGGACATAAGACTGGAGAAGGTAAGACAGGAGGCAAGGCAGAAGAATGGATAGGGTGCAAGACAGAGGGATGTAGGTGGAAAGGACATAGGACTGGAGAAGGTAAGACAGGAGGCAAGACATTTGGATGTAGGTGAGTTTAGGCAAGACAGAGGGATGTAGGTGGAAAGGACATAAAACTGGAGAAGACAGACAGGAGGCAAGACATTTGTGGGTGAGTTTAGAAAGGACATAGGACTGGAAAGGAGAAGGTAAGACAGGAGGCAAGACATTTGGATGTAGGTGAGTTTAGGCAAGACAGAGGGATGTAGGTGGAAAGGACATAAAACTGGAGAAGGTAAGACAGGAGGCAAGACATTTGGATGTAGGTGAGTTTAGGCAAGACAGAGGGATGTAGGTGGAAAGGACATAAAGGCAAGACAAGACAGGAGATAAGAATGAGGGAGTAGAGGGAGGGTAAGGCAAGACAGAAAGGACATGTAGAAGGTAAGACAGAGAGGCAAGACAAAGGACATAAGACTGAGAAGGTAAGACAGGAGGACAAGACATTAAAACTGGATGTAGGTGAGTTTAGGCAAGACAGAGGGATGTAGGTGGAAAAGGACATAAAACTGGAGAAAGGTAAGACAGGAGGCAAGACAGAAATGGAGGGTGAGTTTAAGAGCCGGTAAGACAGAGGGACATTAAGGATGTAGGTGAGTTTAGGCAAGACAGAGGGATGTAGGTGGAAAAGGACATAAAACTGGAGGAGGGAGGTGGAAGACAAGAAGAAGACAGAGGGATGTAGGTGAGACAGAAGAATATGGAGGTGAAGGAGGGATGTAGGTGGAAAGGACATAAAACTGGAGAAGGTAAGACATGGAGGTAAGACAGAAGAGGGATGTAGGTGAGAGGAGATGCAAGACAGAGGGATGACAGGAGGCAGGCAAGACAAAAGGATGATATGTGTGAGAGGAGAGCAAGGCAGAAGGGTGTAGGTGAAAAGGACATAAGACTGAAGAAGGTAAGACATGAGGTAAGACATTAGGATGTAGGTGAGTTTAGGCAAGACAGAGGGATGTAGGTGGAAAGGACATAAAACTGGAGAAGGTAAGACATGAGGTAAGACATTAGGATGTAGGTGAGAGGAGGCAAGACAGAGGGATGTAGGTGAGAGGAGGCAAGACAGAGGGATGTAGGTGAGAGGAGGCAAGACAGAGGGATGTATGTGAGAGGAGGCAAGACAAAAGGCAGGTGAGACAAGAGGCAAGATAGAAGGATGTGAGAGGTGAAAAGGACATAAAAGACTGGACAAGGAGAAGACAAGAGGCAGGCAAGACAGAGACAGAAGGGTGTAGGTGAAAGGAGGAAAGACAGAAGGGTGTAGGTGAGAGGAGGCAAGTAAATTTTTATGGTAAAAATTTGAAAATTCACACGTCTACAGACAAAGAGTTCGCCTAGATAACAGCATCCTTTATTGTTGTATTTCTGTTTACTTGAGTCCACTAGTCCACAAGTCAGTACTTTGTATGGCCTCCATTGGCAGCAATTACTGCTCGGCACCGTCTCCTCGGCACAGACTGCATAGGTCGACGAAGTCGCTCTTGCGAACTTCTTCCCCACTCTTCCTGCAATGCGGAAGTGTCTGACGCTTTTCTTTACGTTGACGTACACATCGACCGAGTTCATCCCATCTATCGGGTTTAGATCTGGTGATCGGGAAGGCCATGGCAAGACATTGCCGTTAGAATTGGCAAGGTAGCGGACCGTGACACGTTCTGTATGTGAAGTACCGCTGTCATGCTGGAACAACACCCTTTGTCGGTCCATAATCGAAGCATGTGACGTGCGAGGATTTCGTTGATTTGCTGTCAAATTCCCCTCAACAACCACTAAATCAGATCTTTGAGATCTTTGTGTGCTGGATATCTCATCCAACACCATGAAACTTTCTCCACCGAATCTGTCACCCTATCGAATGCAATTAGGGACAAAACGATCAGGGGCAATGTCACCAGTGAAGAAGGAATCCTGATTCATCAATGAACCAGACCCGCCTTCAGTTTTTAAGATTCTAGTTCCGGACTCGACGTCACCACCACAAGCGATTGCGCCGATGGAATTCTCTCAAAACAGGGGCGACAACTGGCCTTCTTGGTCGAATGCCCACTTCACGCAATCCCCACAGCTGTGGCAAGACGCAAGTGAGCAACCCAGATGAAGCGGTCCTGGGCATGGGTTGTAACTTTTGGATGGCCGCTTCTCGGGCGATTTTGGGCGGAATTGGTCAGCACGATCGGACACGGTGCTCTGTTAAACGTTGAAATGTCGGGCAACTGCAGACTGCAACTCCCCAACTTCAAGGCGGCCTACGGCGATGTTTCGATTGGCGGCACTCAGTCGTGGCATGATGATTTCCTCTTTTCCAGGCAAAAACGAATGACAAAATTAAACACAACGTTTGCCATTTCAAAGTGACCGATACCGCATTCTTTTCCACCTAATTGCACGTGCATTTTGCTTTGCGTGCTTTCTTGGTGACGTTTTGGCGAATATTTCTTCTAACGCTTTTAAAACAAGGGAAAAAGTTAAAATTGACGCGTTTGGGCGCTGAATCTGTTTACAATCACACAAGATGACGTTTGGAAAGAAATAGCATATTTGTATTATTTTTGCCGCCGCTGCATGCGTCCAATATTCTCCAAATAAACTATGTGTTTCTTGTTTTGAAGGGTGTATAAGTTATATTCTGAAGAGATAATAAGTTCACCCCACCTGCAGTGACCAGAATCCACTGTATGATTAACAAATACTATTCTATTATACTAGTAGGTAGCGACAACCAAACTCACTGAATTAGGGTGTTAAGATATTGAGCAGTGCACCACTTCAGTACATCGTGTGACTGAAAGCTAGAGCATTCGCATTTGCTGTACTTGTGATGTTGACATAGAAATGTTTGACATTTCCTAACCATCGCCGGCTATGTCGGCTTAAAAGTTTCCTTTTGTGAACACATGAAGATAGAAATTAGTGAACAAATAGACCGTCGATGTTGTATTTCATATATGGCAGACGAGTTCACAGCTGTTACACTTCCAGATGATTCCGTGGTGACAATAGTGCTGGCATCCGGAGTAGCAGCAGCGAGCGTTGTCGTGGCTGGTGTTGTCCTTATCGTATTTTGCAGGTAAAAGAACACAAAACAGTCCATTAAGATCGTATTACGTGTCTCTCTGATGATCCAAACGTAAACTATCAATTAAACTCGATTTAAACCTGCACCGACATATAATGTTTCCGGTCACGTGACATCTTATCACATGTACCCCTACTGAAACGGCAAAAATGGATAAGTTTGAGTACAGAAGAGTCATAAAGTTTTGGTCCTCGAGTGCCACCCGGTGAAGCACATTGAAGAGCGACTGACAGCAGTTAGAGTACCCCATGGGACTCAAACTTATCCATTTCTGCCGTGTCAGTAGCGGTACATGTGATTAGATGTCACGTGACAGGAAACTGGTGACATGTGCATGTCAATATTACGTTTATGTGAATGATATAAGGTGTCTTCAGTATCATACAGTTATTTTTATCATGCACATATCAGAAGTATTTTGACTCAAAACTTTTGATAGCCCTTCGAATATTAAGAGTGACCATGAAGTTGACAATTTTATAACACGGTTGATCCTGCTGTCTGGTTTTACATAATCACTGTTGTTTCACCAGGAGGAGAAACGCCAAGTCCGAGCCAAACCTCGAGGAAACAAATGAACATTCTGCTATCGGTCGAACTGAACGGTCTGCGTCTATCGTGACACTAGTGACTGGCCTCAAGGGTGTGTTGGGAGCCAACTGCTGGGAAATAGACCCTGCTTACTTCGTCGCCACCAAAGTTGAAGAATCTGACAACGTGAAGTCAAATGAAGAGCACTTAGGGCACACGGGGACAAGCGACTGTAGTGTTGAAACAACGGTGCGTGCAACTGCAGACTCACTCACCAGCGTTTGTGAAAACAATGAACTAACAGGTCCAAACTCGGCCACCATTCAGGGTCAGGTCGCTGGTCAGGCGCCCATAAATGGTCGGCCCAAGACAGAATGCCAAGAAAGGATAAAGGATCACATTAACACAGAGAGTCAAGGAAATAAAGACAGCCAGTGTGCGACAAACGATCACGTCATGACTGATAGTCAGGGTGCGAGAGACGGTCTAGTCAAGACTGATAGTCAGTGTCAAGTAAATGTTGAGACAAAGGGTACAAATTATGAAAAGAAAGGTCTTACAAAGATAGGCGAAATAGTTGTGGTAGATGGTCAGACTACGATGGATGGACCAGCCAAACTAGATAACCAGGGAGCGGAACAACACGGCACCATGACAGCAGATCTACTGGAGAGATACGATGAAGGAAATGATGACACAGAACGTCTAAGGGTCAAAGAGAGCTCAACACCAGATGCTTTCAGGCTGAGAGCTGGCATGGTAAAAGTGTTCCCGTGAAGTATGGCCATTAGTCTCGCGGCGTCCGGCGGTGGCGGGGGAGGACACCAGCAGGTGTCAGGAATGTACACTATGTGTGTGGCGACCAGTGGCCTGCATACAATGACGTTGTACATCGGAAGGTGGCTTGTATATGATCATCTTTACAAGGTGACCTGTATATAATCTATCTCGCAAGGTGACCTGTATATAATCTATCTATCTCACAAAGTGGCTTCTATATATTCTATATCACATGGAATCTGTATATAATCCCAAAATGCCCCTTATACATTATGTATTACACAATATGGCTTGTATATGACCTCTCTCACGAGGTACCTCATTAGGTGGCTAGTATCTGACCCATCTCAGGTCCTGGTAAAACAACGGCCGACATCATGAATAGCAGGGCAGGACATGACCAGTGTTGGCACTTATACCAAGATCATGGTGTACAGAGAATAGTATCACCCATAGAAGGATCCTTCCCAGAGGGAGATGACATACTCATATTGCACTATGTAATGTACGTGCGGAACAATCTTAAAATAGCTTTATTATTATTTTGACCTTTCCCCCACGCCCATTTGCAATTGAAATCCTTTTCAAACATACTGTAGTCTATATTCATTCACTCGATAATACAACTAATTTATCAGTTTACGCTATAACTGGGTGTATCACATCCGGGTGGTGCCCTGATTTAGCTGGAGGAGGAAGGTGCTGTCAGCTTCCTTGTGTCCATAGCTTGTGAATCTATCATGGGTGTTCACATTCAATCCAACGAACCACGCCTTTGTAAATACGTTTCATTGACGTTGCTACCCGCTATGATACGTATGGATTACACAATTCTATGCTATCACAGCCACGGGGCTACCTCCGTTATCATATATGTTGAAACAGTTTTCCTTACAGATATGTTTTTATAATAAAAGGGTTTCCTTATAAAATACCCAGTCTTGAATATCCTCAGCAACATATTCCGTTTCATGTAAAAGGATAATTACTTGAAAATTACTTGAATATTTGGTTTTATGTATCGTTGTACAAGATATTGTAACATAGGATATACAGAAGAAGGTTAGGAAAGTTGTGTAATGTTTGTTTTCTCTCAAACTTCCCAATAGGTTTGAAATATAAACGCGTCAGGTAGCAGTTTACAGTTTGTTACAATATATATAGCGACCTTGCTATTAGTTGTTACTGTTTTAATCACAACTATCCTTTTCATGCATATCGCCCTGCTGGGTTTTAATCCCTATCCCTATCAGATGTATATAAGTCTATGCTGTGCTGTAGAACTTCACTCTTGCTTGTCAACGGTGTAAGGATCTATACCACAACGCCAGATCATATCAGAATAAATAAGTTGTTATTCATAAAGTGTGTTGCCTTTTTGTATTGGAGTAATTGGCAGTAACAGGTGGAAGTGAACACATGTCTGGGTGGAGATACTGATCCTTCTACAGCTGTGAACAAGTCAGTTCATCATGTGTCAGGGCGTACCTCCACAGGTCAGGTCGTCATGTGTCAGGGCGTACCTCTACAGGTCAGGTCGTCATGTGTCAGGGCGTACCTCTACAGGTCAGGGCGTATCTCTACAGGTCAGGGCGTACATCTACAAGTCAGTTCATCATGTGTCAGGGCGTACCTCTACAGATCAGGTCGTCATGTGTCAGGGCGTACCTCTACAGGTCAGGTCGTGATGTGTCAGGGCGTACCTCTAAAGGTCAGGTCGTTATGTCTCAGGGCGTACCTCTACAGGTCAGGGCATACCTCTACAGGTCAGGTCGTCATGTGTCAGGGCGTACCTCCACAGGTCAGGTCGTCATGTGTCAGGGCGTACCTCTACAGGTCAGGTCGTCATGTGTCAGGGCGTACCACTACAGGTCAGGGCGTATCTCTACAGGTCAGGTCGTCATGTGTCCGAGCGTACCTCTACAAGTCAGTTCACCATGTGTCAGAGCGTACCTCTACAGGTCAGGTCGTCATGATGTCAGGGCGTACCTCTAAAGGTCAGGTCGTTATGTCTCAGGGCGTACCTCTACAGGTCAGGGCGTATCTCTACAGGTCAGGTCGTCATGTGTCAGGGCGTATCTCTACATTTCAGGTCGTCATGTGTCAGGGCGTACATCTACAGGTCAGTTCGTCATGTGTCAGGGCGTACCACTATAGGTCAGGTCGTCATGTGTCGGGGCGTACCTCTACAGGTCAGGTCGTCATGTGTCAGGGCGTACCTCTACAAGTCAGTTCATCATGTGTCAGGGCGTACCTCTACAGGTCAGGTCGTCATGTGTCAGGGCATACCTCTACAGGTCAGGTCGTCATGTGTCAGGGCGTACCTCTACACGTCAGGTCGTCAAGTGTCAGGGCGGACCTCCACAGGTCAGTTCGTCATGTGTCAGGGCGTACCTCTACAGGTCAGGTCGTCATGTCTGAGGGCGTACCTCTACAGATCAGGGCATACCTCTACAGGTCAGGTCGTCAAGTGTCAGGGCATACCTCTACAGGTCAGGGCATAACTCTACAGGTCAAGTCGCAATGTGTCAGGGCGTATCTCTACAGGTCAGGGAATACCTCTACAGGTCAAGTCGTCATGTGTCAGGGCGTACCTCTACAGGTCAGGGCATACCATTACAGGTCAAGTCGTCATGTGTCAGGGCACACGTCTACAGGTCAGGGAATACCTCTACAGATGAAGTCGTCATGTGTCAGGGCGTACCTCTACAGGTCAGGGCATACCTCTACAGGTCAAGTCGCAATGTGTCAGGGCGTACCTCTACAGGTCAGGGCATACCTCTACAGGTCAAGTCGCAATGTGTCAGGGCGTACCTCTACAGCTCAGGGCGTACCTCTACACGTCAGGTCGTCAACTCTACAGGTGTGTCAGGGCGTACCTCCACAGGTCAGTTCGTCATGTGTCAGGGCGTACCTCTACAGGTCAGGTCGTCATGTCTGAGGGCGTACCTCTACAGGTCAGTTCGTCATGTGTCAGGGCGTACCTCTACAGGTCAGTTCGTCATGTGTCAGGGCATACTTTTACAGGTCAGTTCGCCATGTGTCAGGGCATACCTCTACAGGTCAGGTCGTCATGTGTCAGGGCGTACCTCTACAGGTCAGGGCGTACCTCTGCACGTCAGGTCGTCAAGTGTCAGGGCATACCTCTACATGTCAGGTAGTCATTTGTCAGAGCGTACCTCTACAGGTCAGGTCGTCATGTGTCAGGGCGTACCTCTACATGTTTCCACTCAGTATGTCCAGTACAACAGGACAACTTCATAACACTCTACAATACTGTCGACGCTTTTACTCGTTATGTCAGTGCAAGGGCAAGATCATACCACCCTACAATATTGTCAACGTTTCCACTCAACTCTAGTTGTCCTGGACATCTCAGGGGAATGTAAACTGTACATTACTGGAACGGATCTGTGAGACATGAAGTGACATTCACTGACTGTGTCTGAAATGATACATGCAATAAGGACGGAATACACTGCATCTCTATTTTGCGCTAAAGGGCGCCTTGACCCTGTTTTGTCAATGTCTATTTAAAGTACATCACATATGCATGTTTAACATCAAAACACGACACACCCAGTGAAGATATCGAAAGAAACACGAATATGTTTATTCAATAAAATAAGGTGAATGTCGTTATGAAACCACCGAACACGAGTAGTTAAGATCGATGAGGCGTACGATAGATATATATTCAAACAGTCACAAGTCCGACTGACTCGGAGTTTGTCAAGAACAGAGTACTCACTCGAAGTTTTACCAGACAGAGATTGATATGTCAACTGGATACTGAAGAGGACAGATGTGTCAAGAGCGACACAGTCCCGAGGAGGAGACGCTCTGTATCCTCTGTCTGAACCAAGAATGACTACCTCATGGAATAACACTCTGTGTTACCTGGGCTTCTTCACCAGCCTGACACTGGGTGAGTTTCAGGTATATCTGACACCGGGTGTATTGTTGCTGATTTAACCCTTAGTGAGTTTCAGGTATATCTGACACCGGGTGTATTGTTGCTGATCTAACGCTTTGTGAATTTCAGGTATGTCTGACACCGGGTGTATTGTTGGTGATTTAACCCTTGGTGAGTTTCAGGTATATCTGACACCGGGTGTATTGTTGCTGATCTAACGCTTTGTGAACTTCATGTATGTCTGACACCGGGTGTATTGTTGGTGATTTAACCCTTGGTGAGTTTCAGGTATATCTGACACCGGGTGTATTGTAGGTGATTTAACCCTTGGTGAGTTTCATGTATGTCTGACACCGGGTGTATTGTTGGTGATCTAATGGTGGGGGTATTTCATGTATGTCTGACACCGGGTGTATTGTTGGTGATCTAACGCTTAGTGAGTTTCAGGTATATCTGACACCGGGTGTATTGTTGGTGATCTAATGGTGGGGGTATTTCAGGCCTGTCTGACAGTAGGGGTATTGTTGATGATCTAACGCTTAGTGAGTTTCAGGTATATCTGACACCGGGTGTATTGTTGGTGATCTAATGGTGGGGGTATTTCAGGCATGTCTGACAGTAGGGGTATTGTTGGTGATCTAACGCTTAGTGAGTTTCAGGTATATCTGACACCGGGTGTATTGTTGGTGATCTAATGGTCGGGGTATTTCAGGCATGTCTGACAGTAGGGGTATTGTTGGTGATCTAACGCTTTGTGAGTTATAGGTATATCTGACACCGGGTGTATTGTTGGTGATCGAATGGTGGGGGTATTTCAGGCATGTCTGACAGTAAGGGTATTGTTGATGTTGGTGAGCTTCACCATAAGTGGCAAAGGTCTAGGACCTGTATCACTCACTCACTCACTCACTCTCACTTCTGAAACATTCACAGACATTCGCAGAAAAACAATCCATGTGTGGTTGTGTTTCAGCAAAGTTATGAACCCATCCGAACACTGGTGTAACAATCCCGCGACTGTACAAATGTCTTCATACGGCGATACGTACACGCCCTATCATCACATGATTGAACCATCGGATCAATCAGATGTGTCGTTTCATGAACACATGCCAGGAGATTCCAACGGAAACACCTACTTGCACCTGGATATCTGACAGTCAAGATGGCGACCAGGACTACAGAAAGCTAGACGAAATGCAACACTGAAGAACCAGCAAGCAATCTGCACCAAAGTGACCCAAACTCAGAAGTAGCGGATATCACTCCAAAATAAAGTTTGTATAAAGCATGATGTTCTTAACGCGGTGAACGGATCAGACTGACTCAGAAGAAACTCGTCCATTCACTGTGTGTAGTATACAACACAAACTGCCTGTGAGGCGCTAGAAGGTGAACTGTGTGTAGTATACAACACAAACTGCCTGTGAGGCGCTAGAAGGTGAACTGTGTGTAGTATACAACACAAACTGCCTGTGAGGCGCTAGAAGGTGAACTGTGTGTAGTATACAACACAAACTGCCTGTGAGGCGCTAGAAGGTGAACTGTGTGTAGTATACAACCCAAGCTGCCTGTAAGGCACTAGAAGGTGAACTGTGTGTGGTATACAACCCAAGCTGATTGTGAGGCGCTAGAAGGTAAACTGTGTGTAGTATACAACCCAAGCTGCCTGTGGGGCGCTAGAAGGTAAACTGTGTGTAGTATACAACCCAAGCTGATTGTGAGGCGCTAGAAGGTGAACTGTGTGTAGACTACAACCCAAGCTGCCTGTGGGGCGCTAGAAGGTGAACTGTGTGTGGTATACAACCCAAGCTGATTGTGAGGCGCTAGAAGGTGAACTGTGTGTAGTATACAACCCAAGCTGCCTGTGGGGCGCTGGAAGGTGAACTGTGTGTAGTATACAACCCAAGCTGATTGTGAGGCGCTAGAAGGTGTACTGTGTGTGGTATACAACCCAAGCTGCCTGTGGGGCGCTAGAAGGTGAACTGTGTGTAGTATACAACCCAAGCTGCCTGTGGGGCGCTAGAAGGTGAACTGTGTGTAGTATACAACCCAAGCTGCCTGTGGGGCGCTAGAAGGTGAACTGTGTGTAGTATACAACCCAAGCTGATTGTGAGGCGCTGGAAGGTGAGCTGTGTGTGGTATACAACCCAAGCTGCCTGTGGGGCGCTGGAAGGTGAACTGTGTGTAGAATACAACCCAAGCTGCCTGTGGGGCGCTGGAAGGTGAACTGTGTGTAGTATACAACCCAAGCTGATTGTGAGGCGCTAGAAGGTGAACTGTGTGTAGTATACAACCCAAGCTGCCTGTGGGGCGCTGGAAGGTGAACTGTGTGTAGTATACAACCCAAGCTGATTGTGAGGCGCTAGAAGGTGAACATTCTCAATAAAATACGTGAATTTGATATCAAAGTTCACAAAGGCTATGACTACACATCACCTGTCAAATGTAAAGACCCGTAATAAATCAAAGCTTTTGTACATTTGGAAAACATCCAAAATAAACACATAAGAAAGTATTTGCTGTGTGTCAAATTTCACATGACACGAGTTTCAATAGCGCGACTACCTGCTTTAGTCAACACATACAATGACCGATTGATATGTTGGACTGGGCTGTCGGCGTGATCGTGATTGTTACATAAAAAGAGGTTTAGTCAACACTAAATCATAGTCAATTATTAGAAGAGGAGAAATAAATGTTTTTCTTTATCGGTTCAGGTAAATATTGAATCACTCGATTCGAGAGTCATCCTCGATTCGATGAGGCCTACTGATTTTCAAATGCCCAGTGCCAACTTGGTAGAATCCATTGCATTCTTCCTGCAGGTCAGCAGGAAGCCCGTTGAGAGTGGTCGGTGGTTGTTGACGGTGTTGTGTGCGCCGTCCAGGACATCCCTGACATCTGGCCATCTGACGTTCAACAACTACTACATGTACCAGATGTCCCCGTTACACTGTCCAACTATTTATCTCAGTAATCATATAAAACATCAGTACGCGTGACCGCTTTTATTGAATAGTGCAAAGTACACTGGTCACAAAGCAGTTGAGGTTGAACGTTGGTCACGGAGAGTCTGTTGATAGGTAATGATGTGTGGCAGCTTCCTTCCTGACTACAGACTCAGGGTAGTGCAACGGACCACACGCAGCACATACGGTGTGTACTTGATCAGTGACTTTGTTCAATAATGCCTCTGTCCACCAAGCAGAGACTGGGTAGCTAATGGTGAGACGCTCATATGACTGTTTACCATCTAGCACCTCTCAGACAGCTTGATCAGGGTAATACTGTTAGTGCTTTGAGCACACACCTTGTGTGTGGAAGTTATCGCAATGTCAGGAAACACATAATTAATATCAGCGACTATTTCAACAGTACATAACAAATATTTTACTTTCTTGATAACAGGGTCAGTTGTTTGTACTTCAAACAATGAAGGTTCCAATAAATTCACACCAAGACAGTCATCACCAAACACTCAACATTACTTGGCTTTACACCGAAAGAACCTAGATCCGTGAGGAGGATATCCTGAAATACATGTAACAGAATGATTTGTCTACTGTCTGCAACTACACAGTGCCCACGCAGACACCCGGGTCATGTTAGTCTCCTCCTTACAGGGTCACGACGTTAAATAACGAACTACTCAGGTGTATATTCCCCCTACATTGTACACCTGTCGGCTCCAAATGTTGTTATAATGTTAAACTGAGGCTGTAGTTTCCACAGCATGGAAGAATCTCTTTATCCGTCACAAATGTAGATCTGTCAGTGGACCTTCCCATATAAACTGAAGGACATGAGACCTCTCAAATACCTTCCTTTGAGGTCTCCGTGGTCCTGGGAAGACCCTTTACATGCTGACTCATCAGTACTGTTTCCACTGTTTTCCAAATCAATATGAACCAAAGTAAAAATAACAGTAAGTGCTCAACGTAAGACATGTGGCCTCGGAGCGTATTGTATGAAATCGTTCAATAATTGGAAATATCGACATCCCTTCCACTGATTTACCCATCGTGACTACAACAAGGGGAACAGGTAAAACAAAGTCCATCTGTAGATAAATCTGTGCTGTTTGATCCAGAGTGGCAAACATTCCACAAACATAGTGCCAAGCAATATCATCTTTGACGTCTTGATTTCACTGATTTTAGTACATCTTGAATGCACGTTCTTGTTCCGAGTAGCGGCATACGCTGGGGCTGCAGCAGCTTAACTCGTAGTAATCATTCACAGATAGATACCCCGTGTATATCTCAGGTGAACAGATGACTTCTGCTTGTGATGGTGCCATCGGTAGTGCACGATAGTCAAACACCTGCTAGCATTGCTGTCTGATGGAGATTCGTGAACGCATTCTCATGGATTCCGCTTTTTGTCGAGATTCCCTTGTTCCATTGGGGGTGGCCGTTTTCTCTTATCGTTGGTTTATATATTTTGTAAACTAACTGACAGTAAACACATGTAGGTGTATCGTGGTTCATAAAGAAATCAAACACAACAAAACTCTTTCTGTTATTTGACCCACAAGTTCTTTGCATCAGAGTACATGATGGGCTCCGTGGGATGATACGTGGGAATCGAACCAGGGCCTGGGTATGGGCAGACTGGGCGCTACTGAGCTGACAAGTGTCTTGTATGAATCACAACCTACTGAAAGGACTGCCTGTATTCACAGCTTACAGCAAACGAAACACCTCTATTCAGATGACACATAGGTAGAGTTGAATGACGGGTGCTATGGGCGACATATTACAGCCTTCATGTGACAGCGGCTGTGTGTGATATGTGTTCAGCAGAACAGACTCAACTCATGTATCTTCTGTTGGTGGAGGCTGTGTGTATTCTGACTTTCATCAGATGTCTCGTGTCAGGTTCGTTGTACATAGATTGAAACAAGTAGCCAACATGCGTCTGTTGTCTGACGGAATACTTAATGCATGACATCTTATGTTCCGGTGACCCTAACTTGTGTATGAAGAAACGTTTATGCTGAACGTTTCGATACGTATTCTAACCTTCCTTTGTGACAAGATTCTTTGCATGAATACTCAATGCCATTTAGAATTTGGTCAAATGTAGCACATGCTATATTTTGGATAACACTTTCTCAATTAAGTACACATTCTAGTACTTTTACTGGGCTGAGTCCCATCCGGGATTCGAGCCCATGCCCTCTAGACTACCAGTTGTCCGACCTCTATATGTGTGGAAGCCGCGATGGCTGAGTGGATTAGACGGCTGACTTTTTTGTGTTCACTCTGAGGATGTGGGTTCGAATCCCGGATGGGACTCAACCCAATAAAAGTACTATCTCCAATCCATATAAGCACACTTCACATTACAGGTGGGTTTGTCCAAGTCAAAGGATATCTATATAAGCACACTTCACATTACAGGTGGGTATGTGCAGGTGAAGGATATCTATATAAGCACACTTCAAATTACAGGTGGGTCTGTGCAGGTGAAGGATGTCTATATAAGCACACTTCACTTTACAGGTGGGTCTGTCCAGATGAAGGATGTCTATATAAGCACACTTCACATTACAGGTGGGTCTTTGCAGGTGAAGGATGTCTATATAAGCACACTTCACATTACAGGTGGGTCTGTGCAGGTGAAGGATGTCTATATAAGCACACTTCACATTACAGGTGCGACTGTCCAGGTGGAGGATATCTATATAAGCACACTTCAAATTACAGGTGGGTCTGTCCAGGTGAAGGATATCTATATAAGCACACTTCACATTACAGGTGCGACTGTCCAGGTGAAGGATGTCTATATAAGCACACTTCAAATTACAGGTGCGACTGTCCAGGTGAAGGAGGTCTATATAAGCACACTTCACATTACAGGTGCGACTGTCCAGGTGAAGGATGTCTATATAAGCACACTTCAAATTACAGGTGCGACTGTCCAGGTGGAGGAGGTCTATATAAGCACACTTCACATTACAGGTGCGACTGTCCAGGTGAAGGATGTCTATATAAGCACACTTCAAATTACAGGTGCGACTGTCCAGGTGAAGGATATCTATATAAGCACACTTCACATAACAGGTGGGTCTGTGCAGGTGAAGGATGTCTATATAAGCACACTTCACACATAACAGGTGGGTCTGTGCAGGTGAAGGATGTCTATATAAGCACATTACAGGTGGGTCTGTGCAGGTGAAGGATGTCTATATAAGCACACTTCACATTACAGGTGAGTCTGTGCAGGTGAAGGATGTCTATATAAGCACACTTCACATTACAGGTGGGTCTGTGCAGGTGAAGGATATCTATATAAGTACACTTCACATTACAGGTGGGTCTGTGCAGGTGAAGGATGTCTATATAAGCACACTTCACATTACAGGTGGGTCTGTGCAGGTGAAGGATGTCTATATAAGCACACTTCACATTACAGGTGCGACTGTCCAGGTGGAGGATATCTATATAAGCACACTTCACATTACAGGTGGGTCTGTGCAGGTGAAGGATGTCTATATAAGCACACTTCACATTACAGGTGCGACTGTCCAGGTGGAGGATATCTATATAAGCACATTTCACATTACAGGTGGGTCTGTCCAGGTGAAGGATGTCTATATAAGCACACTTCACATTACAGGTGGGTCTGTGCAGGTGAAGGATGTCTATATAAGCACACTTCAAATTACAGGTGCGACTGTCCAGGTGAAGGAGGTCTATATAAGCACACTTCACATTACAGGTGGGTCTGTCCAGGTGAAGGATGTCTATATAAGCACACTTCAAATTACAGGTGCGACTGTCCAGGTGAAGGAGGTCTATATAAGCACACTTCACATTACAGGTGCGACTGTCCAGGTGAAGGATGTCTATATAAGCACACTTCAAATTACAGGTGCGACTGTCCAGGTGAAGGATATCTATATAAGCACACTTCACATAACAGGTGGGTCTGTGCAGGTGAAGGATGTCTATATAAGCACACTTCACATTACAGGTGGGTCTGTGCAGGTGAAGGATGTCTATATAAGCACACTTCAAATTACAGGTGGGTCTTTGCAGGTGAAGGATGTCTATATAAGCACACTTCACATTACAGGTGGGTCTGTGCAGGTGAAGGATATCTATATAAGTACACTTCACATTACAGGTGGGTCTGTGCAGGTGAAGGATGTCTATATAAGCACACTTCACATTACAGGTGGGTCTGTCCAGGTGAAGGAGGTCTGTAGCAGCGTGCCCCATGGGTCTGTGAGGCTGGATTGTGCACATCCTGGCAGGATCCACCTGGTCCGCGTCCTGTACAGGAAGGCTTCACGAGGATGTCTCACACAGGATGACACGTGTGAATATCTGCAGGAGACTGAGAAGCACGGTCTGACAACCAGCTGTGCGGGGGTGTCGGTCTGTCTCCAAGCTATATCGAGCTTCTGGTTGACTCACAAGTGTGGAAATACGACGTCATATACCGCGGCAGCATACTACCACTGCATCGACGGTTGGTAGTTTCCCAGCATCTGTGCACTAATGACAAAAATAAGTTAATCCTTTATAACTGGTGCATGAGCACCCTTTCCGTTCTCCCTCACATGGCATCTAACAGGAAATATGTACTAGAAGGGAGCGATGAGTCTTGCAGTCAGTGCAGATTGTATAACGAAGAATACGACATGTGGATAACAACTTGTTCAGTGCATAGAGCGACGTTTCGGTGTAGACACCGTCATGCAGCTAAACACAGTATTCTACACACGTTGGTCTGTTTTGCATACGCTGACGACATGAACATGCCTTATGTTTACAGATTCCATCGCCGACATCTGCAGCAGTTCAACAGCCTCATCCAATGAAGACATGACGCTGTACCTTGCATCCTCCAATTACCCATACGAATCAAGGAACACATACAACACGTGTCAGTGTGACGTCACAGGGACGTCAATGAACGTGACTATACTCGAACTATTCTTCAGGCATCGTGACGGCATAAGGGCCAATATAACACTGAGGGGCGACAACTCTATATGGCAGTCTTTCTCTCACAGTTACTTTGTGTACAATACACCGGTGATGGAGAATGTGTCACGTCTGGCGCTGACGTTTCAAACATACGGACAGCAAGGTCAGCATGTCTGGCTGAAGGTCAGAGGTATGTTCAGGAAATCATATTTGTCAATTATCCAGGAACGGATTCATGATTTTTTCTCTTCAAGAAGACTACCACCAGTTGATTCAGCTGACATGTTGTTCCAGGTGTATCCAGCCTCACAGCCACGTGCAGCGGCGGTACAGGGCCGACATCACAGAGGCCCACGAGGTCAGACCCGTCCACTCCACCCATACACAAACAAGGTGAGTACTAGATTCCGTGCAATTCCCAATAGAAGGTGGAGGTCTGAACTTGGTTTCCCTGTTAATCCTCCCTGACTGAGAAAGAACCCACGTTATATATCCGCGTCTGTATGTTTCAGACAACACCATACTGATATTGACTGTGGTATCTGCTGTTGGTGCCGTGGTGCTGATCCTGGTTGTAGTCGCTGTAGTTGTCTGGTGGTGAGTGTATCAAGACGTGCTTAAAGTCACAAAACAAATATTATCTTCGATACAAACGATTTAAAGTCTTGAACACGAACATAATAGAAAGTAAAAAGCATATTTTCATACCAACCAAGTTTATATTTGCAAGGCAGATCTATATATTACCTGTTACCTGTGCCTACTTCCCAATAAACTGTACAGGGCACATGTCATCGATGTTGTTGTCTCCTTCAGTATTGCAAGACGAAGAAGAAAAGCTTACGAAATTGAAGCCGACGATACGTATACTTACTATGACAACGAGATAGACCACGTGATGGATCCGTCCATTGAGCCAGGTGAGTGCGATGTTGGACGCACAGGCAGCGACATTTGCAGCAACAATGTTCGCTACTCTGGAAACAGGACTGGCAGAAACACTAATGTCAACAACAACATTTCCACCACCAACATCTACGACCACTTGGACGGAGGACACATGTACATACGTGGTAACACGGCATGTTGACGTACGACCGCCTGGAAGGGGATGCCTAACGCGGAATATTGAGAAGCAGAACATCTATCTTTTGTGTACCCAGCGGCAGAGGGATGTGTTGAAAGACATGGTTGTGACATTCGAGACATCGTTGAAGTGATTCAGTGTACAATTCAGTGATTCAGTGTACAATTCAGTGATTCAGTTTAGTGATATTCAAACGTATATTTCATGAGGAGATCTGAAGTGTTAAATTGATATTGATTTGAATGCATGATACATTTAACAGGGAAGAATGGTAACATGTGCCTAATTAAGTAACTGAAACCTACCCTTTCTTATCTCCTACATAAGGTAACCATGAATGGATTCACTCTCAGTCCAGTAGGTTGTTGTGAGCCAGTGCCAGTTGTTACGGTTTAGAAATTACTGAGACAAAGGCTAGCGCTTATGAGTCCCCTTTAAACCGGCAAAATAGAACACAAACAAGTCTATAATGTTCATATATATATTGAATAAAATAACAAGGTTACAATAAATGACAGTACAGATTCCTAATATAATGCAATTAGGTCACGATTGTAAAATATAACTCACTAAAGTCCTTATATTTCAAATCAACAGATGTACTGATTGAAGATTGTTGACAGCTGTTGAAAGTTCAAAGCAGACGTGGCCTCTTGAGTGGTTGGTCTTGAAACGTCAATGTTGGCAGACAGATGAGCGTAAACACAAAGTCGTCCCGTCATACATATCAGCAACCATCTCTTATATATGTATTATAAAGTTCTAGAGAATTCTAACAAAAGCTATGCCACACCACCACCATCTAGAATGCCAGATACAGGACAGTCTTTCCTTAACCTACCTATCTTAAAATTCATTTATCAAACTAATCCTATTTATAGCGTGGCTCCCTATGGCTGCCAAGTGGCTGTCGAAAGACTCGTTATGGACCTAATGTGGCCCTGGCTAAATATAAATGACCCTGACTAAATATAAATGACCCTCAAGATCAGGTTGAATCACACGTTTTGTGTCGACCAGATTGATTTCTATTGGGAAAAAGCACCATGGCTTTGACAGATTCAAAAACGATCAGTTGCGAGTTTGCATAATTCAGTGTGGATCCTCGCACTTTACATGTCTCTTTAACACTTTTGGTTTTGAAATTATAGTGCTTTGGCCCCCTTGAACAAAAGGCCTAAATGGGGTGCCCTTTCAGTGCACCTATTAGTTCACCTGAATCACCTGTTAAAATCACCCAAAGGAGAGTAATGTCCCCAGCCTGATTGACAAAAAGAGTCCGTGTCGCCATACAGGACACGTTCTTGTAGCATGCCCGACACACTGTACCGCTATAATTGTCACAGAAACACATATAAATATTCAGTGTCATTAAACTACATGTATACTGTTTATTGATTGGTTGATGAGATTTTTAATCGCACATGATGCCCGTCAGTCACATGATATCCCCCATTTCTGATGTCACAGAAATTTTAAGGTCGCTCCTAAATTTGGAATATAAACCTTTCTCTCTAGATGATCAGTAAATGTCACAAGAAGTGCTGACTACTAGGACAGAGTAATCTTAGGATTCCACTGATGGTGTAACTCTAGCGACACACTCGGTGTTACCGGGGCCAGGACCTACATTGGGAGTACTAGACTGAGGCCAGACACACTCGGTGTTACCAATGTCAGGACCTACATTAGGAGTACTAGACTGAGGCCAGACACACTCGGTGTTACCAATGTCAGGACCTACATTAGGAGTACTAGACTGAGGCCAGACACACTCGGTTTTACCGGGGCCAGGAACTACATTAGGAGTACTAGACTGAGGCCAGACACACTCGGTGTTACCAATGTCAGGACCTACATTAGGAGTACTAGACTGAGGCCAGACACACTCGGTGTTACCAATGTCAGGACCTACATTAGGAGTACTAGACTGAGGCCAGACACACTCGGTGTTACCAATGTCAGGACCTACATTAGGAGTACTAGACTGAGGCCAGACACACTCGGTGTTACCGGGGCCAGGAACTACATTAGGAGTACTAGACTGAGGCCAGACACACTCGGTGTTACCAATGTCAGGACCTACATTAGGAGTACTAGACTGAGGCCAGACACACTCGGTGTTACCAATGTCAGGACCTACATTAGGAGTACTAGACTGAGGCCAGACACACTCGGTTTTACCAAGGTAAGGACCTACATTAGGAGTACTAGACTGAGGCCAGACACACTCGGTGTTACCAATGTCAGGACCTACATTAGGAGTACTAGACTGAGGCCAGACACACTCGGTTTTACCAAGGTCAGGACCTACATTAGGAGTACTAGACTGAGGCCAGACACACTCGGTGTTACCAATGTCAGGACCTACATTGGGAGTACTAGATTGAGGCCAGACACACTCGGTGTTACCAATGTCAGGACATACATTAGAGTACTAGACTGAGTACTAGACTGAGGCCAGACACACTCGGTTTTACCAAGGTCAGGACTTACATTAGGAGTACTAGACTGAGGCCAGACACACTCGGTGTTACCAAGGTCAGGAACTACATTAGGTGTACTAGACTCAAGCCAGACACACTCGGTGTTACCAATGTCAGGACCTACATTAGGAGTACTAGACTGAGGCCAGACACACTCGGTGTTACCGAGGTCAGGACCTACATTAGGAGTACTAGATTGAGGGCAGACACACTCGGTTTTACCGAGGTCAGGACCTTATCAGAATGCGACGAGTTCAACAACAACATTGGTTCCCCGTCAAAGCTTACAGGTGGTGCCATATGTTTATGGCTGACGTCACTGGCAAGACGCAGGGCAGCGGCAAATTCAAACTCGCGTAACAACCAAATTATTAAAGAACTGACCTTAATACTTGGTGATGTATCCCTTGGCAGCAATTATTTTCCTCAGACGGCGTGGGATAGACAAATACAAGTTTCTGATATAGTTCACAGGTATGTTTTCCCACCTGTATCGGATCTCTCGCTCCGAGTCCTCACGGGTATTGATGTAAACAATACGTTGTCGCAGGCGGTGTTTCAACAGAAGCCAAACGTTCTCTATAATATACGCATCTGGAGACTGTGCTGGGCAGAAAATGCCATTTATGTCATTTCTTTGTTAATTGTATTCTGCTACAATACGGGATCTGTGCACAGGCGCATTTTCGTCTTGAAAAATATAATTTATTCGGGAAATGCCTGACAATAACAGGACACAACTCGGAATCAAGAATATCAGTGTATTTCTGTGCATTTATATTACCTTCTACAACAGTTAGTGCTCCAACACCATGCCAAGTTACGCAGCCCCAGACCATCAAAGAAAGACGTGCATGACACCCGGGACTCAAACACTGAGGGGTGTACTCTTCTCCCGGCCTTCTCCACACATTCACACGTTTGTTTTCTCCAATGACTCTTCTCCATTCTTCATTAATTCCCAATCGAAGTTTTCTTCTGGCATATCCGGATTTTTTTTCGATAATGATAATTACTTTCAAATAATTTTCTTTGAATTGTACGCTCGGAGACAGTTCTGATCCTTTTCTGGTTAAACCTTGAGGTGATTTCCGACAAATGAGAATTCCGACTGTTTTTTACTAAATTTAAAAGTTGACGAGTATCCCGTGCAGTCAACGATCGACGTCCAGTTCTTGGGCGATTCTCTGTGCTTCCACGTTCCAGAAATGGCTTTACAACACTGTAAACTGAGTTCCGAGGTAAACCAACATCCCTGGCAAATTCACTGTATTTTTGGCGCTGTTGGAACTTCGCAGTAATCAAATCTGTAACAGACTGTGACAATTCCCTTTTTTCCCTATGGTACTGGAAGTCGCCTGCGTAAACAAGCAGGCGACACAAAACGTCACGTGACTGTCACATAAAATTCAGTGTCCCGTTGAATTTCAGGACCGTTCGTCGCCTGTGTCATACAAAATTTGTATTTTTAATGAACCGTTAAATTTCATGACTCTCGCTATTTGGGATACTTTTCTCACACTGCTGTAGCAACCAGGGCATACACATATACCCAGAGATAAATTTGAATACAGTTACTCAAACATTTTAACCTACATAGACTGGATTGTAGTCTCTGTTACATTATTTTCATGTCGTTTTAGGTTAAACCTCTTGTCAATAAATCATAAATGTATTATTATGGAATTATGATTATGATCACGAGACTGTCTGATCTACTCGCGGCTACACCGATAATGGCTATCACAGTGGTGGGAAATGTCGAGGGTGCTTTAAAGATTAGGTTATAAATAAAAGGGCACCTCAACAAATCGGCACCAAGCGAAATATAATTAACAATTGTTATGCCAATTAACATGTTGACTAATCAATGACTTTCATGACATAGTGGATAGCACCTATTGTTCACGGAGACAGTAATGTATTCCTTACACTGCTACATATTGGAGAAAAAGGACATTTAATCAAAAGCATTTAGAGCAAAATGCTCACAAATTCAAAAGTCTCCTGCCATTGCCCCATTTACGCCTACTTAATACAAAGTCGTAGGTCCATGAGGTATTCATCTAATCACTCTGCATGTAAGGTGTGCTATGACATTACGGATCAGCATAGTTGGGGTTTTAGCTGACCCTCGAGAGTTGCCTCCCTTGGCAATACACAGTGGACTACTTCTGTAGGTCCTATGTGTAGTTCTCCGCGCATTTCCATATGGATATTTAACTAAAGAACAGACCCCAAACAAACCATCTTTTTCAGATGCATGTTTCCAGCTCCAAATTCTTTTTCTTATATCGGAATTTACGTATTATGACCAAAGGTAATGTGAGATAATTGTGAACATTCAACTAACCTTTAGCATCGCTTGGATAATTAATCATGGATATTGATCGCAGCAATATATTCTCAATATCCTATTCTATATATATATGTTACAGTCAGATGTGAAATCAGTCATTTCGTGAAATGACTAAGACGATCAGCCACTTTGCTATTGGCTATATAAATAGGTTTGGACGTTTCCGTCAAATTTGATGTACATGTTCTTGATAACGATGTTCGTTATGCACGAAACAATTCGCCAAAACGCATTTTGTGGCCCCGACTCTTAGAAACACGAAACACATGTCTTAGTCGGATACATGGGATAGATCGTGCGAAAAATCGGTATAAATGGCCCGTCCAAAGTTGAATGGCTGATCCACTAACACGAAATGACTGATTTCACAATCTGAATATATATATTCTCGTTTCAGCGAGTTTGGTTTATCTACAGCTATAACTATTACTAGTGCTTGGCTGTTACTAGTGCTTGGCTGTTACAATGGAAATGATGGTCCCTGATTGATGCGAGAATATACAAGCACTGTATCGACTGTGCTTACATAAGTCTACCGAGTGTGAATGAATGAATGAATGAATGAATGAATGATGGGAATCCGAAGATCATACAAAGGCAAACACATTATTTACAATATATCACTTGCACTAAACATAATGGAACAGCGTTTGTAGTAAAATGAAAGCATGCGATATGTAGCACTGTTCTTTAATAGATAATTCACAATGTACAACTTGCGAGCAGTAGGGAGGTTGTGGTTAGTAGATTACAGCAGGTGTTTCTTTAGATTCCATACGAAGTGACAAAATGGCACTATTATGTATGCCCATGTATCATAGTCAGTTGTTTCAGTTAAGTCATGTGTATCTGCGCCGAGAAACAGTGCCAGCATATCATCGTCGTCAAGCATATCTATTTTCACATTTTTATCAACATCAAGTCAGGCAAGAGAAGAAATTATTTCTGTCGGACATGAAGGATTCACAGTGCTCGATAACATGGCAATCATAGTCATAGCAATATCGAATACAGTGGTTACATTCTTTTGACACTTTTGATCCGATATTAACACCGAGTAGTAGGGGTAGCCTTAAATGTGCATAGAGGTGGATCAGATTATAAACGACGTGCATTTGTAATCGTGTGTGAATTTTACAGTATCGTGAGAGATCCGGTCTCTGTGCTAGTCTCTCTTTCTCCAAACGTTTTGTTCATTCTACAAGAGACGTCTGATTATAATAGACCTCCAGGCTTATTTACTTGGGATTGAACCACTGCAAATATAGTCATTGATATAGTGGTCTAAGTGATATTTTAGCAGTATGTAGCCGGTTGCTTGTCGGACGGCTAGTATTATCAGGAGCGTTGGTAATGATATAAGCACAGAACAGATCTTTCGTTATTGAGTTGCAATCATTATTACAGAGCCTTCGTAATAATTGTAATCTACATTTGTCTATGTAACCATTCATTGACCACATTCCTAATTTTGAAATAGAAGAATCTGTTGGATGACTTTTACCTAGGTCTGACTGATACGCTAATATACAACCACTGTATCGACTTGTGCTTACATAAATCTGTCAAGTGTTGTTTGGTTTTAAAGGACTTGGAAACACCTTCAAATTTAATAATTGTAGACATATGAGGGAAGGGTTACTGCTCATTAATGACCCTGATAATGTCAGGTACAATAACCTACTTGACTAGTACCACGTATTCGCGTGTGTATTGAGAAGCAATGGAGAAGCAACAGGTATTCTCTAACACCTGGTATCTTCACGAATTGATGCTGGTACATAAACACATGCTCGGGGTATCGTCGTGAACGTCCAACGGCTTCTTCACATTACCCGTACGTCTTGACTAAACATTCCCCCACAGTGCATCGTAACCTGCGCTCACAGGCCGAGGCAAGCGTAACCTGTGTCTATACCCGTCAGTAACACGAATGTTGCAGTTGTGTACACCAGTGTTGTAAAGTGTGTAGACTCATACGTCTGTGATCAGGAATGTGAACTCCGCTGGCAAGTTGAGATAGCTGTGTCTGTGGTTCATTTTAATGAGTCCTGTATCAAACATCACACCATTATCTGACTTAAATAGAATAAGGTTTTGACATGCGAATACAGGTGAGGCCGTTGACAGTCTGTGTATTACGAATCAGAACACCGCGTCACGGGGGGTTGTCACAGTCCCAGGGCCCTCAACGACGACGTCCGGGGTGGACACCTCCTTCTAATGTGAACACTCCTGGGTGATATTGAAGAAACTGTTTGCTTCTTTAGACTTGGAAACAGGAACAGTGATCATGTCAACGTGGATGTGTGTAGCAGTTGTATCATCTGTCCTCTCTGTGTTACTGGGTGAGTTCCATGTGTCCTATACAAGGATCAGTGATTGTATTGGTTGTATGCCGCTAGGGCGGTATTTCACTTACAGCATGTCATGTGAGTGGCACAGTCATACTTAGCTTAGGTCAAATACTTTCACCTCTTTAGTCAAACCGTCACAACGGGTGTGGTGCTGGAAAGGACGACCTATCGTTGTCGACGAAACACAGATTGGAACACGTGACACGATGTCCTGGCGCAAGCTTTCAGAAAGAGCTGCAAGGAAACATGGCTCTTAATTTGGTGTTTATGGGCTGTTATGACAGTGCTGTAATAGTACTAAACGTTTATATCAGTATTGTTATTATAGTATTTAGTTTTATATCATCATTGTTATATCAATTAAGTGTCATATCATTTCTGTTATATCAGTAAAGGTATATATCAGTACTGTTATATCAGTAAAGGTATATATCAGTAATGTTATATCAGTAAAGGTATATATCAGTACTGTTATATCAGTAAAGGTATATATCAGTACTGTTATATCAGTTAAAGGTATATATCAGTACTGTTATATCTGTAAAGGTATATATCAGTACTGTTATATCAGTAAAGGTATATATCAGTACTGTTATATCAGTAAAGGTATATATCAGTACTGTTATATCATCAAAAGGTATATATCAGTACTGTTATATCAGTAAGGTATATCAGTACAGTTATATATCAGTACTGTTATATCAGTAAAGGTATATATCAGTACTGTTATATCATCTGTCAAGGTATATATCAGTACTGTTATATCAGTAAAGGTATATATCAGTACTGTTATATCAGTAAAGGTATATATCAGTACTGTTATATCAGTAAAGGTATATATCAGTACTGTTATATCAGTAAAGGTATATATCAGTACTGTTATATCATTAAAGGTATATATCAGTACTGTTATATCAGTAAAGGTATATATCAGTACTGTTATATCAGTAAAGGTATATATCAGTACTGTTATATCAGTAAAGGTATATATCAGTACTGTTATATCAGTAAAGGTATATATCAGTACTGTATATCATCAGTAATATCAGGTATATATCAGTAATGTTATATCAGTACTGTTATAAGGGTATATATCAGTACTGTTATATCAGTAAAGGTATATATCAGTACTGTTATATCAGTAAAGGTATATATCAGTACTGTTATATCAGTAAAGGTATATATCAGTACTGTTATATCAGTAAAGGTATATATATCAGTACTGTTATATCTAAAGTATATATCAGTACTGTTATATCAGTAAAGGTATATATCAGTACTGTTATATCAGTAAAGGTATATCAGTAATACTGTTATATCATAAAGTAAAGGTATATATCAGTACTGTTATATCAGTAAATATCAGTACTGTTATATCAGTAAAGTATATATCAGTACTGTTATATCAGTAAAGGTATATATCAGTACTGTTATATCAGTAAAGGTATATATCAGTACTGTTATATCAGTAAAGGTATATATCAGTACTGTTATATCAGTAAAGGTATATATCAGTACTGTTATATCAGTAAAGGTATATATCAGTATATCAGTATATCAGTACTGGTATATATATCAGTAAAGGTATATATCAGTACTGTTAGGTATATATATCAGTTCTGTTATATCAGTAAAGGTATATGTCAGTACTGTTATATCAGTAAAAGTATGTCAGTACTGTTATATCGTCAAAGGTATATATCAGTACTATTATATCAGTAAAGGTATATAAGTACTATTATATCAGTAAAGGTATATATCGGTACTGTTATATCAGTAAATGTAGAGTTGACGTGACAGTCTGTACACAGTGTGTAACGGTGTGGCTACATGTGAGATGGAGGTGCAGAAGTTCTGGATGGACGCAGTCTGTGGAGACACAACAAACTACAAAGCTGTCATATCCTATGAATGTATATCCGGTATGTAACGTAACAGCCAAGTTAGGATTCCCACGTTTGTGAAACCAGTATAAGGAGTCCTCTGTCGTTATATTACATGAATGGAACATTTGGTGTACAATATCGCCACGCCATAAATAATGTGACAAATGTTTCAAACTGCAACTTTAGAGCTAACTTTAGATGTCACCTACATGTCACTGACCATTGTAACTGGTTTTTGTTGACCTCTCCGACTTTATCTGCGGCAGTACTGTACAGCTTCTCTAGCTAACGTCCCATGTTTTGTACACAGGGCAGTGAGGGAAGCTACCTCTGAACCACTCACTGGTCTTCAGTAACCCATGCTTGGCGTAAGAGGTAACTAACGGGATCGGGTGTTCAGGCTCGCTGACTTCGCTGACAGATGTCATCGTATCCCAGTTGTGTAGATCGATGCCCATCTGTTGATCACTGGATTGTCTGGTCCAGAGTCGATTATTTACTGACCGCCGCAATATGGCTGGAATATTGCTGAGTGCGCCGTTAAACAACCAACTAACCTGAACCACTGTCGTCTACACAGTGTTGGGCTGATCAGCCTCAATTCTTTTATTATTAAGTTGATCTTTCATAGTGTCTGTCAGAAACACAACAGACAAAACGTGCAGCTTGGACTGTTTCCAGCAGTAGGAAGGTTGATGTTTTACAACATATTGACGTGAACGTTGTTTTCCAGACGCCCCCATTGATGTCTGCAACAATGTGACACAACTCTCCAAGCAGAACGTCAACAGACTCTATCTTGCCTCACCCAATTATCCAAGTGGTACAAACTTATCTCCTGGTACATGCTCGTGTGACGTCACAGGGGGTAACATGAGCGTGACTATCCTTGAATACTTCTTCCTTCCGGCGAATGGCGTGAAAGCCAATTTGACTCTGACTGGAGACACTTCCACTTGGGAGTCTTTTACAGCGGGAATGATTGCCTACAACAGTTTAGTCATGAACAGCACAGACAGTCTGAAGATAGTCTTTGACGCAATACCAACTTCACAAAAGAAAAAAGAAGTCATGTGGTTAAAAGTAGAAGGTAAGACTCCCAATATGTAAATCATTTACGGTCGGGATACATTGCACAGGTATCCGAGTGGCCCACCTTGAAAACTGACGAGAGGATTTTGAGGTATTATCAGAAAACAAATCTTATGTAAACGTGCAGTAATTTTTATGTTGTTTAATATATAAAACATGAAGCCTTCTTGCTTTCTGAGGGAATGCATTGTTCTATTTAGGTTCACCTGTAATACACATAGCATGCAATGGAAGTCCACCCCCGCCCTCCATCATTCCAGCTACTACGGACAGGACAACCCACGATACAGGTCGGTGTTATCACTGATCTCTTGTATGGTATATCCAGGTTGTATAGCTGTATGTAGATCTATTCAACACGTTGAACATCTTTACTTTGAATTATCTGTAGTTCAGTCCTATTACGTTTCTCTAAGCGTGGGCACACCGCATGTAGTAAACATTTGTTACAATACCACTGTTACTGCATCGTTCCTTGTTTATTTTGCTATTATTCAGTTGTTGATCACCTTAGTTTAACAAATAGTTCACTGAACTGATCTTTACTTTCTTATTACTGAAGCAATAACACACACACACACACACACACACACACACACACACACACACACACACACACACACACACACACACACACACACACACACACACACAACACACACACAAATAACATCACACACCGTTATCAACAGTAAAATAAATCGTACTGTGCAACATCTTTGATATTTTTATCCAATGACAATAGTGAAATGCATGCATCTATAACTCTACTTCTGTTCTTTTGAGTTTCTCACCCGAGTGTGTAGGGATAGTTATTATCATGTATTGGGAATACACGTTTTATTACCTACTGGATCTTGCATATCTTTATCCATATACGACTTGCTTTACACTCCCGAGAAACATCTCATTATGTTGGTGTTTGTGTCCAGGTTCTCTCTCCTCCCTCACCACTTCTAACACCACTGTAGCTGTAGCTAGTACCTCGCCGGGCAGAACACAGGGACAACCAGGTGATTGTAGCCACACTTTGTGTTTATCATTGTTTTGTTTGCTGCACGCTACTTTCATTACAATGTTTACTGCTTGTCAGTAGCGGTCAACAGTCTGGTGTTAGGTGTTGGAAGTGGAGTAATGTTTAGCTAGTCTACGCTCTGTAGATGTGTGGATGTAGGGTAATGTTTAGCTAGCCTACGCTCTGTTGATATGTGGAAGTAGGGTAATGTTTTGCTAGCCTACACTCTGTTGATATGTGGAAGTAGGGTAATGTTTAGCTAGCCTACACTCTGTTGATATGTGGAAGTAGGGTAATGTTTAGCTAGCCTACACTCTGTTGATGTGTGGATGTAGGGTAATGTTTACCTAGCCTACACTCTGATGATGTGTGAACGTGGCGTAACGTTTAGCTAGCACGTACCTTATCACATCAGATAAATGCGTTTACCTTTCCACGTTGACGGTCCCATTGACTACGCGTTAGTGAAGACTACATATTATGTTGTTGTACTTCTTCAACATCTGCAACCACAATACAGATAAGTTTGTATCATTCATTTGTAGCAGTTCAGGATGATGTACCACGTCTTATATAGGTTTCCACACTATGTACATTGCTTTGAAGGTACAGTGGCTAAATGTTTAGAACCACCATATTAGAGTTCCCACGATGGCCTGCTTCAATATTACTTGTACATGAACGTGACTCTTTCCTCTTTTATGATACATCTCTGATTGTCCCTAAACGAGTCCTATCTTAATCAGTGATAAATGGTAAACATCTAGGTGTATTTAGTCGAGCCACACTTTCGTACATATTTGGTTTAAATCTGAGATAGTCATAACATTGGCGTGTTTTGTTTCCTGCTGTAGGTGACAGTGACTTTGTTTTGATGGTTGTGTCCAGTGTTTGTGGCATGGTCATCGTGCTTCTACTGGTCATTGTAGTCGCACTCTTCCTCTACTTGTGAGTACTATCGTCGTCATTGTAGTCGCACTCTTCCTCTACTTGTGAGTACTATCGTCGTCATTGTAGTCGCGGACTTACTTTACTTGTGAGTACTATCGTCGTCGTTGTAGTCGCACTCTTACTCTACTTGTGAGTACTATCGTCGTCATTGTAGTCGCGGACTTACTTTACTTGTGAGTACTATCGTCGTCGTTCGTTTGTGAGTACGTCGTCTCTGTAGTCGCACTCTTTACTCTTGTGAGTACTATCGTCGTCGTTGTAGTCGCACTCTTACTCTACTTGTGAGTACTATCGTCGTCGTCATTGTAGTCGCTCTCTTACTCTACTTGTGAGTACTATCGTCGTCATTGTAGTCGCACTCTTACTCTACTTGTGAGTACTATCGTCGTCGTTGTAGTCGCGCTCTTCCTCTACTTGTGAGTACGTCGTCATTGTAGTCGCTCTTCCTTTACTTGTGAGTACTATCGTCGTCATTGTAGTCGCACTCTTACTCTACTTGTGAGTACTATCGTCGTCGTTGTAGTCGCACTCTTACTCTACTTGTGAGTACTATCGTCGTCATTGTAGTCGCACTCTCTTACTCTTGTACTTGTGAGTACTATCGTCATTGTCGTCACTCTTTACTCTACTTGTAGTCGCACTCTTCTACTTGTGAGAGTACTTGTCGTCGTTGAGTACTTTGTGATCGTCGTCATTGTAGTCGCTCTCCCTCTATCGTACTTGTGAGTACTATCGTCGTCATTGTAGTCGCACTCTTACTCTACTTGTGTAGTACTATCGTCGTCATTGTAGTCGCTCTCTACTCTACTTGTGAGTACTATCGTCGTCATTGTAGTCGCACTCTTACTCTACTTGTGAGTACTATCGTCGTCATCGTCGTTTCGTCGTAGTCGCTCTCCCTCTTACTTGTGAGTACTATCGTCGTCATTGTAGTCGCACTCTTACTCTACTTGTGAGTACTATCGTCGTCGTTGTAGTCGCACTCTTACTCTACTTACGTGAGAGTACTATCGTGAGTACTATCGTCGTCGTTGTAGTCGCACTCTTACTCTACTTGTGTGAGTACTATCGTCGTCGTCATTGTAGTCGTACTATCGTCGTCTTGTAGTCGCTCTCTTCCTCTACTTGTGAGTACTATCGTCGTCATTGTAGTCGCACTCTTTATCTCGCTTGTGAGTACTATCGTCGTCATTGTAGTCGCACTCTTACTCTACTTGTGAGTACTATCGTCGTCATTGTAGTCGCACTCTTACTCTTACTCTTACTTCGTCGTGAGTACTATCGTCGTCATTGTAGTCGCTCTCCCTCTACTTGTGAGTACTATCGTCGTCATTGTGTGAGTACTATCGTCGTCATTGTAGTCGCTCTCTCCTCTACTTGTGAGTACTATCGTCGTCATTGTAGTCGCACTCTTACTCTCTACTGTGAGTACTATCGTCGTCGTTTGTAGTCGCACTCTTACTCTACTTGTGAGTACTATCGTCGTCATCGTCGTCATTGTAGTCGCTATCGTCGTCATTGTAGTCGCTCTCCCTCTACTTGTGAGTACTATCGTCGTCATTGTAGTCGCACTCTTACTCTACTTGTGAGTACTATCGTTATTGTAGTCGCTCTCTCCCTCTACTTGTGGATACTAGTCGCTTTCATTGTCATTCTACTTGTGAGTACTCGTCGTCTTGTGGTCGTCGCTCGTCGTCGTTGTAGTCGCCTCTCCCTCTACTTGTGAGTACTATCGTCGTCATTGTGAGTCGCACTCTTACTCTACTTGTGTCTATCGTCGTCATTGTAGTCGCTCTCTCTCCTCTCTACTTGTGAGTACTATCGTCGTCATTGTAGTCGCACTCTTACTCTACTTGTGAGTACTATCGTCGTCATTGTAGTCGCTCTCTTACTCTCTACTTGTGAGTACTATCGTCGTCATTGTAGTCGCTCTCCCCCTCTACTTGTGAGTACTATCGTCGTCATTGTAGTCGCTCTCATTGTAGTCGCTCTCTCTTGTGAGTAGTACTATCGTCGTCATTGTAGTCGCACTCTTACTCTACCTGTGAGTACTATCGTCGCCGTTGTAGTCGCTCTCTCCCTCTACTTGTGAGTACTATCGTCGCCGTTGTAGTCGCACTCTTACTCTACTTGTGAGTACTATCGTCGTCATTGTAGTCGCTCTCTCCCTCTACTTGTGAGTACTATCGTCGTCATTGTAGTCGCACTCTTACTCTACCTGTGAGTACTATCGTCGTCGTTGTAGTCGCTCTCTTCCTCTACTTGTGAGTACTATCGTCGCCGTTGTAGTCGCACTCTTACTCTACTTGTGAGTACTATCGTCGTCATTGTAGTCGCTCTCTCCCTCTACTTGTGAGTACTATCGTCGTCATTGTAGTCGCTGTCTTATCCTACTTGTGAGTACTATCGTCGTCATTGTACGAGAGGCGATCAAGAAGTATGTGGAATCACCAAGAAAACGATTCAAATGCAGTTATTTTTATGTTTCATTTTTCTACATATTATCTGTCAAGTCCAAGCAATTTGGTTTTGCTATGTTCCAGTCTCACTCACCATTTTGTTTGACCTTTTATCTTGGTACTCTCAAAAAACGCAAAATCTACAATAAATGCATCAAACTTCACGAAACAAAATATGCAAGAAATATTTTGTGTGTTCGGAGATTGATAGAAGTCCCCTAGATAGAAGTCCCCTACAATCGCTTGTTAAAGTGACTGCCCGCTTCATGTTGACTGAAAGAGCTTGTTTTGGAGACTACCGATCCCCCTTTCAGATGACGTAATCATCAGGGCATAGCTTATTCTAATGTTTTCACTTATACATACATGACGCCAAGGGTTCAAACTAAACACTGAATGGTCACACAAGTGTCTATTCACAATATATTGTAAAACAGTGCCAGCTTGAATATCTGGACACAATGTTTTTGAAAGATTAAAATGGAGGTGTCCTTAAAAAATAGCCCCCGACTAAATATAAATCAGGCAGTCTAACTCTTTGACTGTTGATCATGACGGGAAGTCATCCAATACTATACTGAACATATTTTATATGACATTATCTGAGGGCATATCATTATCCAAGAGGTACCAAAAGACAAATCGTTTTTCATTTTCTGCAATTTTGTTAGAAATGTTACACCCACATGTGTTGTGATGACAAATATCTGGTTAACCACATTACCCACACATGTGAAATATTGGATATGGCTTTGCTAACGATTCCTTCAAAATGAAAAGGAAGCTGTTCAAACATTGGATATCGAGAATATAGTTAGGCTACGTACTTTTTGATCGACCCTCGTAGAATGTCTGTAAAACTGTCGAACCTGGTGTTTTGTCAAGTTGCTGTTACACCAACAGGCAAATTATAGAAACACATTCACTGTATTTAATCTGTCTGGAGAAGATGAAACGGAACGTGTTTTTTCTTTCATCTTACCACGGGTTTGATTTTCATTTCAGCAAAGTTCTGAAACCTTTGAGGAATTCTTCATCATCACCAGATGAGACAAACGAGGAGCCCACCTGCACACAGTATGACAACGTGATGCAACCACGTGACCACATGGAGTCCCCTGTACCCAGCGGTGATGTGGCAGACACGCAAAGTACCCCGGGTATCTACAGCGGGCTGAGTCCCTACACCAACCTGGATCACGAGTACGGGAAACTGCATGTGTATAGTCTTGTAGGTTCTGAGACGACAACCAGAGCTGAGGACAGTGTGTAATTGAGAGTGAATACCAGCAATATTGCATCTGTATCAAGGCGAAGGTTATGTTGCAATAGATATCTTTCCATAATCCGAATGAATTATAACTATTGCTTCAACGCCGTTAACAGAATCTTAAAGGTCACATGCCATGCAAAACACAACTTTGCAGATTTTGATACCTTTCGGTATGGACTTAAGTTAACAAATTATCTAAAATGCAAATTCAACTTATAAAGTTGAAACATAACGCGATGAAACAAAACCCTGCGAAATCGGAGTTCAAACGATTCACTAAATTCACCCAAGCTAGGGTGAAAAGTGGGGTCAACAGCTGTGCTGCATGCGTTGCGCTCATAGCGCATGCGCAGTGAATAGGTTCGCGCAGCTTGAAGCGGGATGCCTGGATTATAAGGTCGTGAGCAGGAATAGTCTAAACTTGGTTGTATACACAAACAACAATTAGTAAATAATCAGCTCGTTACATAAAAGAACCCTGTTAAGGATCTAGCTCTACTCGGCTATGTGTCAACCAGTGAGGCGTTCGACATTTCAAGACGGAAAACCTTCGCTGGCGGTGAGTACTCGGAGTAGGCTTTGAGTTGAGTTGAGTTAAGTTGGGCTTTACGTCACATCGGCATTATTCCAGCCATATAGTGACGAGAACAAGTCTGCATTAATATACATTGTAAGTACAAAGTGGTTTCGTTTCAAAGACATACATTCATTACGTTGTCATTTTAGAACAGAGAATGTCATAGCATTAAATTGAAAAGCAGGTAAATTCGTTAGTGACATTACACAGTTACAATTTATGATATAGATCAACTTCCCTCAGGTAGTTCAGTATCAGATGAGCGCTCACGCTGGAGAACAGATCTTTCAGATTGGTTGCGTGATAATGCGAGTCCCTTGCAGATGTAAAGTCCACACAGTCAAGCAGAATGACAGTACGGTGAAAGCCTCATCGCAGGAGAGACATATGGGGTCCATCCCCATCCGTTTTAGCAGATAGTCATATGTAAATCGACTGTGGCCAATAATACGACATCGTCGTAAAATTACTTCATCACGTCTTGACTGGCAACCCAAGTAGGTATAACCGATTGTTGGCTTCAATTCATGGAGTTTGTTTCTTCCTACTTGAGTGTCCCACCTTTTTTGCATCAGGTCCCGAGTATAGCTTTTGATAGTGGGTTTGAAATCACTGTACGGGATTAGCAGTGGAGATAGGGGCTTTTCAAGAGCTGCTTTTGCTGCAGCATCGGCCTTAGTGTTACCTGCTATGCCGACGTGACCCGGCAACCAGCAGAGGACGATGTCATATTGGCCAGTAGAAAGGTCGTTGTACAGTTCTAGTATGTCGAGGATGATTGGGTGACTTGAAGTCACGTTTAGAAGTGCTTGAAGGCAGGATAATGAATCTGTAAAAACGATGAAGTTTTTGGACTGAACTATTTTTCAAATGTTTTGTTGATATTTCACAGGCGCGAGCTTTCTATATGTTATGACAGTAGATTACCGATTTAACTGTTTATATAATTTCATTCGACTGTTTCACCACACGTTCTTCTTACCGAGTCACTTTCTTAGTTCGATACTTAACAGCAACGTCGTGTTTTAGCATTGTCAGAATTTCTAACCATGATATAGATGTGCCTCTGTCACAGACAAAACTCATGTCTGTTTTATTGACACCTATGTGTCTGCCTGCCTGTCTGCTAATGACAATATGCAATACACACCTTCAATCATTGACTACATGCAATTTAAACACCTATCAGACGATACACCATAAACAAAACGCATTGATTTATGGCTCGAGCACCTGAGTTCTGTCTCTGTCACATAATGTAATTACACAGACAGGCAGGTGTGATAATTGTACACATGACATGTTATGATGTCTGTTGATTGCAAAATGCCATGCACAAAAATGAGCATGTATTTACAAAACCCAAGATCTCTATACACACACAAAGCGCCGTGAGCGTATCGGCAAATGAACCAGCCAATGAAAATCCTCGTTGCGCTTAAGTGCACGCCCACCCGCTCTGACTGGGTTCGGTATCCCGGGTGTTTCGTTTCGAGGGTAGTCAACCCAATTACAAAATATTGCACTTTTGATTTCCGATTGGTAAAGTCTTCACATCCATTGTGGATGAAAGGTTACGACATTGGGCTGAATGTTATCAGTTATTATCGGAATCGCAGGCTGGTTTTAGGGAGGATTATTCCACAACTGATAATATATTTGTGTTACATGCCCTGTGTCAAAAAATATATTAGAAAATCAAAACATCGCTTCTATACCGCTTTTATTGACTTCCGTAAAGCATTCGACTATGTAGTATGTATGAAAACGTTTGTGCATGTGTAAAGGTTGATTCTCGCCGTACAGATGTTTTCGCTACGTCATGCGGGGTAAGACAAGGCTGTATGCTCAGCCCTCTGCTATTCATCCTGTTCATAAATGAGTCGGTAACAGAACTAGAGAATAGTAATACAAATGGCATTTTTGTAAGCGATGCCATTGGCCTGATCAAGTTATTATTTTTTGCAGATGATGTTGTCCTGGTATCGGATTCTGTTATTGATCTGCAAAGAAAATTGAATGTTTTGGAATCTTTCTGTGATAAATGGGGCATGGAAGTAAAATTAGATAAGTCAAATATTATTGTTTTTCTCAGTGGTGGCTATCTTAAACAAGGTTGAAAAATGGTTCTACAGAGGTATGCAGATGTCAGTAATTACACAATACTAATAACCTTGGTATAATATTCACTTCCACACTAGTATGGTCACGCGCATGTGAAACTATTGCTTTGCAAGTCAGGAAAGCGTGTTTTCCTATATTTAGTATATTCAGTAAATATTTTGATATGTCACTTAAAACAGTTACTAAAATGTTTGACACTAAAATATTACCTTTTCTTTTGTATGGTTGTGAAATCTGGGGTTATACATATCGAGAATCTATTGATGAAGTACAAAGTGCCTTCTTTAAAAGATACCTTTGTAAATACTGCTAATCCAGCGCAGTACTGGGAGTGATTGGGCGGCATAACGTAAGTGCATATTACTTTTGTAAATGCGTTGGCTATTGGTGCAGACTGATCCGTATGAATGCGAATAGATACCCGCACGCTTGTTATACTATGATGAAAGATCAAGATGAACACGGCACTACAAACTGGGTGTCGCACATCAGAATGCTACTTTTTAAAACTGGATTCCCATATACAGTGGAAACCGCCTAAGTAAAGGCCAGCCCTGATAAGTTGTTCATTGTTTTATGTAGCTTGCGAGTATCAGTGAGTAGACCAATTAGCAATGTCAGTGAGTTTATCAAGTTTACATGATGAATGACTTGAAGCAGGCCGTCATTACGGTCACGTGACAAGTAATAAACTCTCGCGGCGAAATCGGAATAAGATCAGTTGGAAAAAATGCTTGTTCATCTTTTATAAATTGTTGCCTGACAAAACTTTGGACTTGAAAGGTGTTCATTGTCACGGTGGAAAGCGTAGCAAATAAAGGTTGACATGCATGGTCGCAGCCAATATGACAGGCACAGAGAAAAGCTTTTGTGGAGTAATAAGTTAAACTGTTATACTAAAAAAAATGTTTGATTATGTTTGATTATGTTTGATTATGTTTGATTTTTATTACTTTGTATTATAAATGTATTACTTAACTCAATGAAATTTTATGGAATAAAACATGTCATATTACTTACAAATGTTGTCTGTTGTTCTGCTGAATACATATATATGTACATTGTTCATGCATATGGTTGTCATTTCCGGGTTTTGATAAGTTTGGATAAGTAAAATACCTGATAAGTAAACAATTTTGGCGAGTCCCTTGAAATTTTAGTTATCAGGTTTCCACTGTATCTAAATCGACCATGATTGTGGAGATATGAAATATTTTCTAAGATTGTGTAAACAGCGATGCATAGATTTAGAAATTTAAAGTTGGTGTAAAAAATCAATAGTTCAACATTTCTTTGCCATTATAGTTCTTATAAATCATTATTAACTACAGAATTATATTTATTATCAAATTCTATAGATAAAGATTTGAAAGTTGTTGATATTTGATAAGTGTGACAATATGGCTGTCGAAGATGAATTTCATTTCATTTTGGATTGCCATCACTATAATATTAGCAGAAAATATTAGCCAAAATATTTTCATCACTACCCTTCCCGAGAAAATCTACAACTTATGTCTTCAACAAATGTTAATATTTTGAAGGGACTCGCGCTGTATTTGAAAATAAACCTTTATGTAAAAAAATGACACCCATATTTTGCATTAACTTGATTCCATGTGTTATATAAACCTATTTATCATTTCTTGTACAATATAACTAATCCTACATGTCTTATCATTGTACTTATCCCACATTTTGCAGTAACATGATTTCATGTGTTATATCAACTGAATTATCATTTCTTGTACAATATAACTATTTCTACATGTATTGTCATTGTACTTATCAGAAATAACTTACAAGCAGTAAGCATTCAACACAGAACTTTGTATTTCAACAGTTTGTAATCTGGGCCACGAGGCCTCCAATACTGAATAAAGACTATACCAAATATACACCATAAACAAAACACATTGATTTATGGCTCGTGCACCTGAGTTCTGTCTCAGAGAGAGAGAGAGAGAGAGAGAGAGAGAGAGAGAGAGAGAGAGAGAGAGAGAGAGAGAGAGAGAGAGAGAGAGAGAGAGAGAGAGAGAATTTTTCAGAGAGAGAGAGAGAGAGAGAGAGAGAGAGAGAGAGAGAGAGAGAGAGATTTGATTAGATTATTTGATTATACAAGTTGTGAGTAACGGGATCTGCCGCTAGTATCACATGCAGTATACAGTATATCAAGTGCAATATACTGTATACCACATACACTATACTGTGTGCCACGCGCAGTGTGCGCCGGGCGAATTCCCGGCTGGGTCGTAACACCGATAGTCTCCCCCTCTCCCCTTAGCTAACACCGCATGGGGGATGTAACGAGGTCACAGGTCAGGCATGTACTGGTCAGCTGTTTGGCCGCTGGCCTGATAATGGGTGCATGATT